AATACCTTTACGCTGGCTGCTACCACCTCCCCATTTATGCTGCCTCACGAATCCTTACGATGACAAACTAAAACTGGCTTGAAAAAGAGATTGTGGCAAAGGCGGACGAAGGACGTCAACAGACAAGATCCTGAAAATAGCCGCTGGAGGTTGTGAGTCACCTTGTTACCTATCAGTCATCCATGAGCGGATGATCAAGAGTGCCTGTCACCATCCCACGCGGCATACAGAGCCGTACCTTAACACCCAATTAGAACTGAAAGATCCTAAAAATTGCCGATAGCGGTTACGAACCACCTTCTTCCCTATCTGTCATCAATGAGCGGGTGATTAGGATTGCCTGTCACCACCTAACGTGGCAAACAAAGCCGCACATAAACACCCAATTAGAACTGAAAATTACCACGCACCTGTATTCCCTGTTAAGAAGTGAGAAAGTGACTGGAGAACAAAATAGTACAAACAAAAGAACGGCGTGAGCACACAGAACATTTATGAACATTTATTCAACACACAGAACATTTATTATAGATTACCAACCCATTTCCTACTTGGCACTTGCTTATGATTCTACGGATACACAATAAAACGATTTTTATGCTAGCCATTGCCAAACATACAAATAACGAGTAGGTTGGTAACGAACCTAACGATGCCTAGGTTCGTGGCGTAACGCACACTGACGTCTGATTATTACGGTGCACAGCTGTGACGGCGTGACGTCACCGCCGCTGTGACGTCACCAGCCTGAGCCGGCCGGCGCCGGAGTCATGCCCCGGGGCGCCGGCGAGCGTGGCCGCGAGGGCGCCTGTGGCACCGTGTGGAGGCTGATCACAGTCGCTGTCGGCTCATCGCCGCGGCCTGGGGTCTCCGACGAAACGCTCGGGCCGTGGCACTGGCGCGCGCTGCGGCCGCATTGGCGGGAACATGCAGTACTGGTCTGATCACCATTACTGGTCACTGGTCACCATTGCAGTACTGGTCACCACTGCAGTGCCGGCCGGCACCTCCACCACCGGCGGGCTAAGGAGGCTTGTGAACGGGGCGGCGTGAGCGCCGGCGCCGTCATCAAGACGGCATTCATTTAATAATTCACCGGTCGCGGCCCTCTGAGGCAGGCTCTGACCAAAGGTCACTCGGCTTACCTGGCGGGACCAGCGAGGAGCGAGATCGTTCCCAGAACCTCGTTATCATACACATGCAGAATAGTTTCTCCCTGCTGGCTCCTGCATGGCTCTCACTTAACACGGGGTCAGCGTCAGTTCTTCTGACGTGATCCGTTCAAGGGAAGCAGGATCTCCGGCTGGCAGCGTACTGCGGCGAAGGCAGAAAATCCCCCTCCCCCCTCCCCCCGGCGCCGCCGCACACAGTAGCCTCCTTTGATCCAAAGGCCAAGGTTTTTGAATAGCACATGAAAGCACTGCGTGAAGATAGTATCTTCAAGTTGCGTCACACAGCAGCCCGAAGCATTTAATCAGAGCTGGTTTCAGACGTATCCTGCTTGACAAATTCTTCACGAGCTGATTTCGTGGCCGCTGGGGACCGGTTATGTGACGGGATTTAACGACAACCGAGCACAACTCGCAGCGTGCGTCATCATGTCATTTGCGGGCGTGTACCGGCACTCATGATCGCCAACGCAGATCATTCGGGATTGTGACAATCCTGAGAGGGATAGAAGTAGATGGCTATAAGGGTACAACATTTGCCTCCCATTCCGAGAAAGTTTTTTCCACGTAAACTTCATCTGCATGTGGGGAACCGATGTACCCCTCTGGTTTTTTCCATCTCATTAAGTAGCTCCATCTAGAGCGCTAAAATGCGGAAAAGCTTTTTCTAAATATGGTACCCTACATTTCCTGGAGACGGTTTCAGGTCTGATTTCTGGGAGGCATTCCGGAATAACGGGCGATTTTTGTGAACAAGCATTTTCAGACAAGCTCTCACCTCCGAAATGCTGTCTTCAGGTGTATAGAGGCGGAGCTTGGGGCCGACCCACGCATGAGTAACTGCGAAAGATGAACAATTAAAAAAAAGACACCTCAGCCTCGACTTTTCAGAGCAGGCGGCTTTTAAAAGACAAGGTGGCTTGTGACAAAAGTGACGCCGCGTCAGCGTTCAAATGCAGAGGTTATTGTATCAGTTCACGGGATGGTGGTGTCAACCGCAGAAACATGGGATATGACGTCACTTGTTTCGGTTTCGAACAGCGCCGTCGGGGCAGTTACAACGCCGTGCCATATAAATGCGGACATAACTTTCATACAGAGACATCTGTGCTCACTATGCTCACGCGTATTAATGCACACAGGGCGCACATAAATATGCAAAGCACTTCTTTTTGCCACTTGAAACCATATTGGCATTTCAAGAACACTACTAAAACAAGCATTACTGAAACTATCAGGCGGCGGGACTAGACATGGGACAGTTCTCTTAGGCTCCTTCGAGTTCTGCCGTTCAGATCAGCACCAGGTCAGCGCCAGGTCAGCGCCAGGCCAGCGTCAGGTCAGCGACCGGTCAGCTCCAAACCCCGCATGTACGTTTCGCAGATGTCGGCGCCGCATGTACGGATGGGCCAAACCCAAGAGTCGTACTCGTACTGGACTGCCAAATAGGGCCGTTTACAGCGGGTCGTGTTGTGGACCCTGAGTGCGCCACGCCACAGTGGTTTGTCGCGCCGCCAGGTTGTACTTGTAGAATACGCAATGTATGTACAATGTGCAATGTCTGTGCAATGTCTTGCAACGCATTGCAAGAGATTTCGTATCATGAAGAATTCAGATCGATAGTGGTTGTTGCCCTCCAGGATGGGCCACTGACCTTCTTCCGATTTTTTCCTTGGCCCGAATCACGAAGTTAGCACAGATCGGAACGACAGCCGATAAGGACGGATGTCGTTCGCTGACGTCAGCCGTCCTTGGCGGACGTGAATTTCATTCAAGAATTTTGACGAGGGGGCACGCAACATGGTAGGTCCCCTGCAGTTCTGAGTCCCCTCCAAAAATAAATTATCGGATCTCTGCAGCTAAGATTTAACATTCTGGTGTATGCTACTTATATACGGAAAACCGTCTTCCCGTGCGCAGCCCAAGAAAACTAGACGTGCTACACGCGCTCATACATGCAGCGCGTTCAATGAAGAGCCGAGGACCATTGTTGAGGACTCCGGAGCGATCGAGAGTGTCCGGGCCGACCAACCTTTTGGTCCCCGTCTACAGCGTAGGCCTTCCGATAAAAACGGGAAAATCCGAGACCATTAGGTACGGCGCCTGATCACTCGAACAATTGAAGGTGCCGCGGCAGATTAACAGAGAGGCTTCTCTCAACACTGCAGGGTCCTCCGATCAGTCGAGTAGAAGCCAAGACCAATGTGCTGGGCCCCTGAAGATCCGTATAGCCCCGTCAGGCTGGCATATGGGGCGTCGGTCACAGCGGTCCATATATATATATATATATATATATATATATATATATATATATATATATACTCAATATCAGACGAAACTCAAAAATGGAAGGGTGCCTCCGAGATCCTGGAAGTTTAGCTCTGCGGTACTACGTGGAAAAACAGAGAAGGCCAAACGATGGGTTTGGCCAACGCAGTTTTTGGTGCGGTTTTATAGCCTCAGAGATGGTCCGTAGTGGCGGTTTCCGGTAATGAACGCCCGCCTTCGTTTTTGTCTTCGTTCTTTATGGGGTGCGGACTGTTCGCGAAGAACTACGGGCTGCTCATCCCAGCCCTGTTTGGTAAGCCCTCTCCAGAATGTGATTAGCTACCGACTTAACCACCGCCAGCGATACTTGCCTCGCCCTATGCAAGCGGAATTCTCCTACTTAATAAGAATCCGGGTGGGGGATTGGTATCAAGATGACATTAACAACTGGCCGCCTGCACGCGCTCATGGCACGGTCTGACCTCACGACGGCTTACTACCAAGCGCCTGCCATTGGGCAGATGGAACAAGTAGGATTTAATGCCGCCAGAAATGTGCATGGAAATTAAGAAAATATCCAAGATCCCAAAGGAACTATTGACAGACAGGGGAAAACATAAATCTGAAAGGACCCTTGGAAAACATTCCAGGAGAGCTCCAAGATCTTAAAAGATCATTGGGTAAAGTTTGAAAATGGATGCTGTCACCAAGAGAACCTTCAAAAATCTAAAAAAGCTCCCGTGTTTGAGAAATTCCAGCATTCATGCCTCAAGGAACCGATCACGGAATTAATCATTAGGATCTTACCGCACTTTCGATGACGACGTTTAGGAGGTGGGGGGGGGGGGGGGGGAATCGTTCAGCGTCTTTCGTTTCATATTTGCAGCACACACAAACTGACACTTACGAGAAAGATAATTCACCCGCATCTCGCTGTGCCCTTACATGACAACTTCAGAGAGTCCCACCCCGTCTGATCGTCTTCCGGCGCCCTTCCGGACGCAGTCGCTGGCGTCCCCCCCCCCCCTCTCGGTCCTGCCGCCGTCCTGCGGGGCCGCGCCCGGCGGACCGCGGCGGCCGCGGCGCCGGCGCGCGGAAGTAGGCCGGCCGCGCCCCGGGCCGCTTGGTCCGTAACAGCGGCGCCGGCGCCACGCCTCGGTCGCAGTGGACACCGGCGGACGACGGCGTCGGTCACGCGGCCAGCGGCGGCGGCTGGGCGCCGCGGAGTCCCCGCCGACGCACGCTGCGCCCGCCGGCGGTGTCGCGCAGGACGGCCGCCGGGTCACAGGAGCGGTGCGCCCGGCAGCCGTGGCTCACGGCGATGTGGGGCGGCGGCGGTCAGCGGCCCCGTGCAGCGGTGGCCGCCGGCGCGCGACGGCCGGTGATGGGAAGTGGACCAGGGGAGAGTGGAGCGGACGGTGCTGTCAGTGATCCGTGCTACTGCCAGTGATCTGTGCCGCTGTCAGTGATCTGTGCTGCTGCCAGTGATCTGTGCTGCTGTCAGTGATCTGTGCTGCTGTCAGTGATCTGTGCTGCTGCCAGTGATCTGTGCTGCTTCAGTGATCTGTGCTGCTGTCAGTGATCTGTGCTGCTGTCAGTGATCTGTGCTGCTGTCAGTGATCTGTGCTGTCACGTGTGATGCGGACGTGCGCTGAAACGGTGACTTTAGATTCGTGATTAGTTGAATTTAGACCTTTAGTGGAAACCGACGAGCTACGCAATCTGTGACGAGAAGAGGCTCAACTGCAGCGAGCTAACGGCTCGCATCATCTCATCGGACCCAGCGGAGCGGCATTCCGTAACTATGTCAGCGCCCGCGGCGGAGACGACACTGCTGCCGTCTGGCGGGATGACAGCAGCGCCGCTGGACGGTCGCCTGCTGCACTATGTGGAGCTGAGTCCCGAGATGGAGATACTGCTGAACCCGCTCGCCTGGCCGAATAACTGGAATGAGTTCCTGATCCGGCAGTTTGGGTTCACTCTGACGGACCTCATCGCCTTCATGGTGTTGTCGTTCTTCTTTTGGAAGGTGAAGAACACGCGCGAAGACTTAAAGCGATCCCGCGCTGTAACGGAAGGAGTGAACCAGTCTCGGTTATTCGGTTCTTCCTCGTGCTTTCTTTGTTGAAGCATACTAATATGTGCCGTTTCCGTGCTTCGTTTGTTGAAAAGATTATGCATGAAAATAGTATGACAACTCAACAAAAGCTGATCCCCCTGATTTCCCATCCGGCCCTTTTTCCTCGTACTCACTTTTTCCTGCGTCCTCGCGACGCTCCGTTGGTCTGGGGCAAACTACATGCACCAGCCGCGAGTGGCCATAAGTGCTCCCCTGGAGGGGCCTCGTACCAGCGCCCAGCAAATACCCCGTAGAGGGTCTCTCTGTCGGCCAAGTCTCGCTGGATGGAACCCCAGGTGCTTGTGGTTTTGCCCCATCGTTATCCCCTCGTCTTCATCTCCCAGTCTTGAAATGGTCCGACTGTAATCCCAGCCTAACGCAAATCTTATTCTGACGATTTTTAAACCGACATCGCATTAAAAACAAAGTGGCATACTGAAGACTACGTGCTGGCTGAGGATGGATGTTATTCCATGTGGCGTTGCTGCCGACCACTGCATCATCTTGTGACTGCTCCGTGACAGCGACTACCGTGTGCGTGCGACTGCAGGTGCTGGTTCTGTTCATCCTGCCAGGGATCTATTTCCGGGTGATGCTCTACACGGACGAGATGGAGGCCGACTCGGACCGGCGACCGGACCGGCGGCGCCACCACCTCGGCTGGAGCCTGGCTCAGGTACGGCTGGGAGGGTCTCCTCGCTGTGGTGTCCGGTGTCGGACAGCTGGACCCTGGCTCAGGTACGGCTGGGAGGGCCTCCTCGCTGTGATGTCCGATGTGGGACGGCTGGAGCCTGGCTCAGGTACGGCTGGGAGGGCTTCCTCGCTGTGGTGTCCAGTGCCGGACCGCTGGAGCCTGGCTCAGGTACAGCTGGGAGGGCCTCTTCGCTGTAGTGTCGGTGTCGGACGTCACCAGCTCGGCTGGAGCCTGGCACAAGGCTGCATTATGACCATGGTCGCACCATCTCTTCTCCGCCGCCAGTGGTCTTGAGTTCATGGATGAGATATGTCGCCGAACATGCATCTTTTAAGCCATAAGTCATAAATCATGCCGGTAGTGTAGTGGCTTTGAGCTGTTATCCCTTACGAAAGTGTACAAGTTTAGCTCTGCGGCCCTACACGTGTAGCACTTTCCGACACGGCAGCGGCAGATGGTGCTAAAGACGTTATAACACAGAAGGCATTGGCGAAATCCCCTCGCCGGCCGGCTTGTCCTCCACTAAGCCACACGCGCCGTTCCGCAGGTGATGGATGCGGTCTTCACCGCCGGGAGGAGCGCCTGACACAACGACGACATTGGGCCGTTCTAACGACCCATCACGTGAGCTGCCGGGGAAGGGGCCGAGTCGGGATGCGGGTCACCCGTTGAGATTGCCGTTGTGTGTATTTGCGTGCGTCGATGGGTCCCGATTTATGCAACGATTTCGCTGTGTCAAGTTTGCTAGCAAATGGATTTGTTCAAATATGAACATGCTTTCATCGAAGCAAACGAGAACGTGTAATAAATGTACCTTTATACGTGTTTCGTGCACTGCCAAAAACAGTGGGCGCTCAAAGGGCAGAACCTTGGCGCTTGTTTCCCTTTGGCGGACGTTCTCTCGCCATCGGCGTGACGACTGCGATGTTGCCGGTGTTTCCGAGCCCGGTCTTGTGTCGCACATCAGAGGTTTCCAAACTAACTCGGACTCCGGATCGGCTCGACACACAGGCACATAAACGAATGTACGCTTCGTCTCCAAGAACGGCACGTACCGCGCCTCGTCTGCTGTATTCGAGCCGCCGCTTACGATGTCAGCTTAAGGGGCAACACATTATAAACCACGAGCTGCCAACAATATCCTGCTGAGAGCACCCGTGCTGGCGCGTTCTGTCTGATCACTAGTCCGCGCTGACCAGCTGCGCAATATACTCAGTTGCGGGGGACGGACCACTAGCTGCACATAACACACGGCGCGTCAGCCATGGACGTGGCCGGGGCTCTCACAGGTTGCAGACATTGTGGCAGGTGGCGTAGGCCGTCGCCCTGCAGCTGATCGGGGACCTGCTGTGCTCCGGCAGCCTGTAACGGCGGCGACGCGGGTCAGCGGGAGGGCGCGAGGGTCCCTCAAAGGCTGGCGCTGGGCGCAGGTCAAGGTCGAGGGTAAACTTTTAGCAGCCGACCGCTGGCCAATTAAATAGTGTCCGCTGGTTTCGGTTGTGACTGATGTGATAGCTACTATAAAAGGTCGTAGGTCTTATGCTACAAAAAATAACATGCCTGGTGCTGAGAGTTTCACGCAGGCAAAACAGCATTTCATTCAGTTAAAGGCGACGTCAAAGGTTTACGACATCAAAGACATGATCTATGCGCATAAGGTACTCATGATACACAATACACACATCCAAATGCACTGCAGGACCTTGACTTCACTGGGGGCTGGCTCTACAGAAGTACCCACTGCGCCGTCAACCCCCCCCCCCTCCCCCTCCGTGAAGCGCGTGTCCAGTTGCCACGCGCATGACCCCCACTGACTTGGATATGTATGTCTGGATACACCCATCCAAGCATACTATGGGACACTGTCTTTACTGGAGGCTGGCTCTACAGTAGTACCCACTGCGCCGTCAAAACGGCCCCCCTCCGCGAAGCCCGTGTCCAATTGCCACGAGCATGACCCCCACTGACTTGTACAGGTCGCAGAGGTCCCGAGGCCACGTGACGAAGTCGTTCTGGTACATGGAGATCTGTCCGCCCAGAGAGCCGTACTCGGGGATCGGGTCGACGAGCACCGTGGTGCGGCACATGTCGGCCATGAAGCGGTCATAGAAGCTCCTGCGGTCCCCTGGTGAGCGGGGCACGCTCCGTGAGGCACTTGGGTCGAGAGTAAAACGCTAAAGCCGCGCTGGACAAGCGATTGAGGTATGCAATACGTTGTTGTGGTCTCACCGGGCAGTTAGCCATTGGACACTGTCAGGGATTCACTAAATCATTATTAATGCCTATGCATGTGGTGAATCATGATCGCCAAACCTTCGGTGTTTGTGCCGAACAGTGCTGGAATAAATGATTTAGACGTTTCCCTTCTAGTGTTATCCATGCACATGTAATAATATTAAAAGTTTATGTAAGCCTGTAAGGGGCAATGGAAGTTTGATATCCAATTCACCGTTTCGACAAGTGTTTCGCAGCCACCAGGCCACCTGCTAACTTCCGCGCCAGCGAGCCTAGCTTAGCCGGCATCAGACCGTTCCAAAGCGCGGATCAGCTGACTTGGTGTGGTGCCCGGCTACCTGTGGTGCGGCTCCAGGGCGGATTAGTGCCGGGACTGGTGAAGTCGTGCATGGTGACCGACTGCTGGTAGATCTTGGTGTTGACCGGCTCCTGGCTGGTCTTCAGCGGCACACACGGCCCGGCGTATCGCTCCAGGCCCCGGATCTGCCGCCGACACAGCGCCACCGTCGGTGACCGCGCGGCCGCGCTGAGGTCCGACGGCGGACGAGCCGTCACTCTCACAAGATGGCCGGCCTCAACTGCTTGTCCGCGGTCGACTTTGGGGACCAGACCCTCGCACCCCCTCGAGACCCAGACAGCGAGGTTTGACTCGCGCCTCGGGGGAGTGCTACTGGCCCCCAGCCGGGACGGATTGGCCACACGGGCGCGGCGCGACCAGCTCGGACCAGCGGAAGCCCCAGCTGCCAGTCATCATGTGGTAAGCAGGGCCTCTTGCTGACCAAACACTCACAAGCGAGTCCGTGTGGATGCAGCCTCCGAGCCTGCGCTGCAGTGAGAGGCCGCCCTGACCTTGTGATCAATGGGCCGGGGGCGGGGTAAGCAGGGCCTCTTACTGATCATACACTCACAAGCGAATCTATGTGGACGCTGCCACCGAGCCTGCACTGGAGGGAGAGGCCTCCCTAACCTTGTACTCGATGGGCCGGGGGCGGGGCAAACAGGGCGTGCAGCGCGGGTCGGCCTCCAGGCTGAGGTCTTGGTACGGCAGCACCGCCGACTGGAACAGCTGCTGCTTCTCGCGCCGCTCTGGCACCAGCCGGCCGCAGGTGCTGGTCAGGCAGCGCTCGGTGGGCCGCGTGCCGCCACACCACCGCTGCCGGCCAGATGAGAGGTCAGGTCGGAGGTCGGGCCAGGCGGCAGGGCACGGGTCTCGGCAGATGTCGGGTCAGTGGTCAGGTTAGAGGTTGGGTCTAGTAGGTTAGAGCTGGGGTCAGAGAGTAAACGGGGTCAGGCCATGGGTCAGACGAGAGTTCAGGTCAAAGGTCAGGTCGGAGGTCAGGTAAGAGATTAGATTAAAGTTCGGGTCGGAGATCAGCTCATTGGCGAGAATGCATGTCGGATCACGGATCAGGTAGGGTTGAAGGTCCGGTAAGAGACCAGATCTTACGTCAGGCGAGGGTCAGAAAATCTATCTGATCGGAGGTCAGAGCAGGTGGCAGGGCAGGACTACATAAAGTGCACGCTGTGCGTGAGGAGTCTCACGGTCAACACACTGCGTAACCGACTACCCCGGAGCACGGTGGCGCGTCAAGGAGAGTTCCAGCTTTAGAGGTCAGTCGTAAGGTTACCGTCTGACTGGGAAATCGATTCACCGGTCACTAGCTTCAACCATTAGGCTCGCCGTATCAACAGTCTGCGTTTAACGCTGTCTAAGTTTCCACGTTAACAGTCGTGTTTAGTATAACAGTCGGGCTGGGGGAGGGGGCGGGGCGAGATAAAAGAATCACACGATCGACATCGAATCTTGGCTACAAATGATCGAGCTTGACCAAGTAGGCAACGCATTGTGAGTTTGGACATGACCCCTGGCGGCGCTTCATACAAAGTCGTGTTTGAAGCGTTCAGCTCGCAGCGAGCTTACACATCCGACCAGCTCGGGTGGCTGGCGGTAGGCGTTGGTGCTGGCGTAGGTCTGGCGCAGCTCCGGCGGCGGCTGGTACCTCGGGTCCGACACGAACACCTCGCACGGCGGGTAGAGCGGCGGCGCGCAGATGGCGGTCCGTGTGAAGGCCCGGCCGTCCAGACACTGAAACACAGTCAGACAGACGCTGAAACACGGCCGGACGGACGCTGAGACACGGCCGGACGGACGCTGAAACACGGCCAGTCAGGCACTTAAACACGACTAGACGGAAACCAGACATGAAGGGGCTAAGCGACAGCCGGACAGACGCTGAGGCACGGCAGGACAGACGGTGAAACACGGCCGGACGGACGCTGAGACGCTGCCGGAGAGACGCTGAAACACGGCCGGACAGACACTGAGACGCGGCCGGACAGACGCTGAGACGCTGCCGGGCAGGCGCTGAAACGCGGCCTGACAGACGCTAAAACACGGTCGGACAGACACTGGAACACGGCCGGACAGACGCTGAGACGCTGCCGGGTAGACGCTGAAGCACAGCCTGACAGACGCTGAAACACGGCCTGACAGACACTGAAACACGGCCGGACAGACACTGAGACACGGTCGGACAGACGCTAAAACACGGCCGGACAGACGCTGAAACACGGCCTGACAGACACTGAGACATGGTCGGACGGACACTGAGACACGGCCGGACAGACGCTGAAATACGACCTGACAAGACACCGAGACGCTGCCGGACAGACGCTGGAACACCGCCTGACAGACGCTGAAACATGGCCGGACAGACGCTGAGACGCTGCCGGGCAGACGCTGAAGCACGGCCGGACAGACACTAAGACACGGTCTGACAGACGCTGAGACACGGCCGGACAGACGCTGAAACACGGCCGGACAGACAATGAAACACGGCCGGACAGACACCGAAACAATGCCGAACAGACGCTGAAACACGGCCCGTCACGCACTTAAACGCGACTAGACGGAAACCAGACATGAAGGGGCTAAGCGAGAGCCGGACGGACGCTGAGGCACGGCAGGGCAGACGGTGAAACACGGCCGGACGGACGCTGAGGCACGGCAGGGCAGACGCTGGATCACGGCCGGACGGACGCTGAGGCACGGCAAGGCAGACGCTGGATCACGGCCGGACGGACGCTGAGGCACGGCAGGGCAGACGCTGGATCACGGTTGAATAGACGCCGAAGCACAGACGGTCAGACACCGCACGTCTGCTCACTGAAGCGTCGAGCTGCTGAACCACGCTGGACGGACGCAGAAACACAGCCGTAGAGTGGTGACTGACAGCATCACGGACTAGAAAACACGGGCTGTGCGAACACAGAGACCATGCATTTGCCAACATCCAACATCAATAATGAATAACATCCACGTACTAATATTCGAGATCAAAGCGAAATCGGAGGGCGTGAGTGCACGTGAACATTAAAACATCTGATCCTTGTGATAACCCTAGGTTGTATCGACACTCCCACAAGCCAAGCTGCGTGGTTCTTACGCCTGAAGTCTGCCAGTCGGTGTTCATGTTATCGTTGATTTGCATCAGTTTAGAGCAAGTCATTTTGTCTGGCTTTTTATGGATGGTGTAAAAGAAGCGAAAATATTAGACTAGACCAGGGCACTTCTCGAGCGTTTATAACAGCAAATAAAACATGATGCTAAAATTTTCGCAAACAAAATAAACTACGGAAGCGTACTCTCGTTGCGTAGAATGCGGAAGATTCTGAACAAAACCATTTTCTTTGCTTCTTTCTGCTTAGAATCCTTTCGGGCCAGTCACAAGACACGTGCGATGCCTCCAATGAATCTTTTATTTAAATTGCAGTTCCCTAGTAAGTCAGGCAATAGGCAGACTTCATCCTGACAATAAGAACTGCTTGTCCTTCGCTGACGTCGGTGCTCGTAGCATTGTACAGTACGTCTCAGCACGAACGTCGAAGGGTTTTCTTTTATTGTACATCACAATTGTTCTTCATGGGTATTTGAAATCACTCTCCAATGCAGCGTGCCTCTCTTTCGCTTCTTCTGGCTACGAAAAAACGCGTGCATGGTATTAATTTATTCACAAATGGGCTGATTATAAAACACCGACCTACAATCGCCACTTATGTAAGACGTGGTAAAGTTTCAAAAGCTGAGGACCGCCCAGGGCTTTGAGCGGGGCTGAAAACGTCATCAAAAACCGGACTCGGAATGTCAATCAGTCGTGAGCAACGAGATACCTGGGGCCGCAGAGGCTGGCCCACCGAGGGAAACGGCCGCCCACCGCGGGCAAACGCGATGGCAAGACTTCCAGCGTGAAGGACGTGATCGGCAAACACGGACCCGATCAGCGACCATGAAAACCGCCAGCCTGAGTACGAACACATGGTGCAGGAATCGACACTAGTCGTCACGCGCCAGCCGGGCGCCGGGAGGTGGGCACGAGCAAAACCACTATCAGACACCACATCGAGCGCGTGATGGCGCGCTCAGCCGGCGCCAGCCGAGCCCTTTGCTGCTGACCACCGTCAGCACGTCACGCCTCGCCGAAATACATAAATACATGGCATGCGGCCGAGCCGTTCTCAGCTCTGCTCGCTCTTGTTGTGTACAAACAGGAACTGGACGGAAGCGTACCGTCTGTACAACCACCACGGCACTGGGGACCGCCCACGCGCGCCACCCACGTCCCCCGCACGTGGCGACGCCTCGTCGTCCCCGCAACGACGTCCGTCGGGTGGACGGTTTGGTCCAGGTTCCGTCCGAACTACTCGACCTACGCCAGACGACGCTCCGCACGCGACATCTATTCGTCCCTAGGTGCGGCTTCAGTTCCGAGAGAAGCCGCCGCGTGGCGTCAATCCTCGCCGTCGGCCGCCTTCGGCTGCGGCGGCCGGGCGCAGTCGGAGTTGGCCGCGCCGCCGCCAGATGTCAGCGTCATTCGGCTGAGCTGGTGGTCGAGCTGCAGTCGCGGCCCGCCGTCGATGGTGAGCGTCTCGATCTGACGCAGCACGCCGCCCACGTCGGCCCGGTCGGGCGCCGCCTCCAGCAGCTGTTGCACCTGCCACGCCGCGACAGCAGTCAGTGGTCGCAGCGCAGCATGAACTCAACTTGAGACAGCACCTTCAAGGGGTACGCTTGGCCGAACGAGGCGATCGCTACGGAAACATATCTACCAACACAGACTTTGATCTGGCCTAATGGCGGGTTACAGGCAGCTTTGGGCCCTAAATTGGCTCTCAGCACTTAGTTGTTTGAAGTCACCAGTTCGGCTTAGCAAAAGTTATACATTGGCTTTACTTACGATCTGACAAGTCTAAGTGCTCTTAATCTAAAACCTAACACCAGATCCAGGCTAGATTATCAACTGACGTCTTCCTCGCAGCGGCCTCGCAGCGATGATAGACGAAAAGATCTTGCCTCACCTCCCAGTTCCTCGCCGTGTCTATCTGTCACACGTCTTGACCCCTGCCAAGCTCTTTACCCCCTGTCTCATCATCTGACCCCCACCCCATTATCTGAGCCCTGTCTTATCTCCTGACCCCCACACCATGACCCGAATCCCAGCACACATTTTGACCCCGCCCCATCACCTAATCCCTGCCCAATATCCTGGCATCTGTCACATCTCCTGACTCCCGCCCCATGTCCCGTCCCTCTGCTCCATCCCCTCCCTGCTGCGCCGTCCACAGACCTCGCGCAGCTCCTCTATCGAGCGGCTGGCGGAGGTGGGCCGGCTGTCCGGCGGCCACAGTCCGCTGAGCAGCCGCACCCGCTGGCCGGCCAGCTGGGCCGGCGTCAGGCCGCCAGGGCCGGCGGCGCGCGCGTTGGCACCGGCCGCCAGAAGCAGGCGCACGGCCGCCACGCTGCCGGCGCGCGCCGCCGCGTGCAGCGGCGTGCACTCCACGATGTCGCGGGCGTTGGGCCGCGCGCCCAGCGACAGCAGCGCCGCCACCATGCCGGAGGAGCACTGCGGACGGACAGCGGGCTGCTAATGGGCAGCGACACGGGGCGGGCGCCGCCAGACGCCACGGTTGAGACATTGGCCGGTAGATGTCAGTACTAGGACGCGAGTGCGGTTAAAGGTTAACGGGCGAGGCGACACTCGCAACGGTTTAGGTGACACTTACACGTTTAGTTTTGCCATTATCGCAAACGGCATGAAAAAGCTCGGCACATGCAACGGCGCGACTATGCACGAGTCAAAAAAGGCGCACCATGTTTGTAAAAAGGCGCGTCATGTTTCTGCACCCGCATTCGACAGCGTAAGCCTGTGGCAGGTAAGGTGGCGACGGAAAACAGAGACGTCAAAGCCGTGCTGGACGTCTCCCGGCCGCCGGAGCCAGCTGATGTCACGGCTGACGTCACAGCTGATGTCACAGCTGACGTCCCGGCGCGCGTCACCATGCGCCGGTTGGTTGCAGGGGTGACGCACCTGCTGGGCGGCCAGATGCAGGGCTGTCCGACCGGTCTCGTCCGCCTGGTTGACGTCGGCGCCGGCGCGCACCAGGCTGGCCAGGCGCTCCACGTTGTTGCAGCGTACGGCACGCATCACTGTCGCCGGGGGGAGGGGGCGTCAGCGCGCGCTCGGGGGCGCTCAGCGCGGCGGCCGTCGGCGCGCGCTCGAGAGCGCCCAGACTGGCGACCGTCAGCGCGCGCTGAGAGCGCTCAGACCGACAGCCGGGACGCTGCCGGGCCCTGGGGCGTACCCAGGCCGGAAACACTCGCCAGCACGTGGGTCAGACTGCTGGAAGATAGGATTACGGAGGAAAGCAGCGTGGACGGCAACGATGCGGTGGAAAGCTATCTGTAAACATATGACGTCACGTGACATCCACTTCGGTGCGGGACGGAACAGTCACGGCATTGAACAGGAATAAAAGGTCTGGAGACTGAGAGCGTGGGATAGCGTGCCTCACTCCACGGAATTGAAGAGGAATGAAAGGTCTGGAGACTGAGAGCGTGGGAGAGCGTGGCTCATTCCACGGAACTGAAGAGGAATGAAAGGTCTGGAGACTGAGAGCGTGGGAGAGTGAACCTCATTCCACGGAACTGAAGAGGAATGAAAGGTCTGGAGACTGAGAGCGTGGGAGAGCGAACCTCATTCCACGGAACTGAAGAGGAATGAAAGGTCTGGGGACTGAGAGCGTGAGAGAGCATACCTTATGCCACGCCGACAAAGTGCAGTGACACTATCGCCTTAGCATACTGTCGAGGCATACACGGAGCACCACCACCGTTCCTATACGAAGCGGCGTTCTTTACCACCGAGCATGCATTGTGTCCGTAGCGCAAAAAGGCACCTCAAGGCCAGGCGTCTCTCTTGCGCCCGATTTCCTTGCGAGCTCACGGCTAACAGCGATTCTCATCAAAAACCGAATAAAGGGCGCAAGGCCGTATCAACACCACATACGAAGCGTCTCTTATTAACACACATACTATCATAGAACATACACGGGCCTGGTATTTGGGCGGCCCTCCTCGGGAGCGCCGGCCATCGCTCATCCAGTTCACGCCAGTTGGAAGCGTACAACACGACGGTTGCACCAGCGCCACCTGTTACGCTCCAGCCCGCAGACGTCAGGACGTGACGCCAGGGCAGGGCCGCGCCGAGACAAGCGCGGCCCTGTATGACGGCGCGGACGGAGCGCCCGGCGGGGGCCAGCTCGCCGGGCGACACCCGGCGCGACGGCGGCGGCGGCGGCGGCGCGCCGTACTCACGGTTGTCGTTGGCGTTGCGCGTGTGGCGAAGCCAGCGGACCAGGGAGCGGGTGCGGCCGCTGCTGCGACACCGCACCCGGAACACGTGTACGCACTCGTCGCCGGCTGCCGGACACGGGCCGGCGCCGGTCACGCACGGACGGAACAGCAGGCAGGCACGGCCCAGAGCGGGCACCGGTTCAGCGACGTGTAATGGGACAGAGACAGACAGGGCAGGCAATGGCATGCCAATACCTGACTTAGCCACTCAGAAACATTGTGATCATTCTGATTTTCCACAAGTCCGAATCCTGACATATATCCAGAGTAACGCTTTCTCTGATCAGGAGCTGGTTTTTAGAACCGAAGAACCTTCCATTACACAAACCCTTGACTGCTTTCTCTTCCCGCAGGCGGCACTCACCGTAGGGCAGCTGAAGGGGCATGGCGCTGGGCTGGGGAGCGCCGTCGGCGACCATCCGGGCCGGGTCCAGCAGCGGCAGCAGGCCCGCCTGCAGCTCCGCAGCCAGCCGGCGAGCGGCCCGGCGCCCCTCGAACGAGGGCCGGCGGCGGCGGCGCGGCGCGGCGCCGGCCGCCGGCTCGGCCACCGGCAGCGGGGAGGTGGCCGGCGACGGCGGCGGGCCGCCCGACGGCGAGGGCCCGGCGGCGGCGGCCGGTTCGGCGGCCGCCAGCGGCGGCAGTGGCGAGAGGCTGATGTCCATTGGCTTACGGTCTGCAAAGTGCAGTGCGGTGGTGTCGGGGCAGAGCACAGGCTGGGACCCATCACAGGGACAGTTGTGCTCTAGACATTACACTGTGGCGGACCTAAAACCACCAAACATCAGCCAATTTAAATGACACTGAGCCATTATGCAAAATTCTTTTCATTTATGGCCTTGCAGAATTGCACTGCTGCACAATGCAAGTGTTGCAAACAATGCATGGCAAAAGGTGATAACATGTGAAGCCATCAGGCCCTGTGACAGAGCATGCCCAAGCTCAATAACAATAATGCTTACAACTACATAAATTGTTGAATTCTGGGTGTCTGGCAGTTTGGCTTGAAGGGGTCTCAATTTAATTGATATAATTTCAGTAGTACCTTTGGATCTATGCCCATTTTTATAGCAGTGTTTCTTAAAACTCAAGGTGTAGCAGTGAGGAATTTATTTGTGTTCCATCATTGTGGCATGTAACCTCTCCATTCTCAGCAACAAAGTAATTTTAATGTGAATGTCATAGTTTAACTATGATGGTACGAGGATGCTGTGCTATTCACTAGCAGAGAAACAGACATGTGTCAATTCAAGCAGAATCCTAAATTGGATTATTGTGTTAAGCTTACTAGGCATTAATTCATTATTTATTGAATTTTAATTTCATTACATATTACAATTCATTATTAGGCATTATTAGGCATTAAAGTATCAAGCTGCCTGGGAGGCTAGGCAAATGCAAATTGTGGTATTCCCACTCCCCATGGAGTGCAGTTCCAAGACCAATCTTTATTATCCTGGAGTGCAAACTGATAAAGTAAATGGTAATACAACATAATGATAGTTCATGATAGAGATTCTGCACTTAATGTGGAAGTCTACAAGTTCAGCTGTAAAAGTGAACATTTTTTGCACACAAAACATCTGGAGAATGAAAAACAAACTATTAATTCCCAAACTGTCAAGTTTCACTGTACCATACTACTGCTAAAATGATATAAAAAATCAATCAGTATCCAGCTGTTTTGAAGCTGGTTGGTCAATGCCCTCTTCGCAGTGTTCTTATAACAGCAGGAATACTGATAAGGGGAGATATCCTTTATCACCAGTAGTCAAGTAACAGCTTTGTGATCATAAAAAGGAAAAATAACTTTTTTGCAATATGTGTTTGACTATGGAGCATACAAGAGATCATGTCTGCCTGGCTGATCAGATGGAGCTCTGTTCTAGGAGTTTTCAGGCCTAAAAAGAACAACTAAGTTGCATTTTTAATGAAAGATCACTATGCAGCTATTGCTAAATGATGTTTAGAACTAGAGAGAGGCATTGGGTTATCCAAAAGCCCACTTAAATTTGGTCTTCTTCATTTGCCCATGTTTTCTGAGATCTAGTCACATATGCAATTATCTCTGAATAACTAAATACACCTACATAAAGAATAAAACATGTTGTGACTAATATATCCAAGATGCAAAGTCACTGTCCCCTTATTTTACATAATTTTGTATGCAGCAACATTTGTCATATGAATATCAAAGCATGTTTACCTCATGTTTCATGAATGATACTTACAGCAAACAGAATATTGCAGTCCATGTAATCAGAATGCCAGATTGATGACAGCAAGCTAATAAAGTGGAATTGTTGTGCAGTTCAAGTCAAGACAGATCAATATGGCTGGTGCAGCTGCACTGACAGTAAAGCCATGTAAACAGCTGCATTCCATCATCATAAAAAGGCATTGCTTTAAGTGGTAACTGGATGCTGAGTGATCCTGTGCAAATGATTATGCATATGTGCAAGCACAAGGAATTGTGTGATTTGTTTATATTATGTAGGACTTAAGGACAACAAAGTTTGTCTCACAACAGTACTGCACCTGGCTCCACAAGCAGCAATGTTCACTAAGTACAGATTATGAATTTTGCAAGAGCACTCACAACACAAATATCTTGACAAAATAGTAATATTACACACTATCAATCACACACAGACATTGGCCTGTGGTCTGCGCAATGCCCTTTCTGCTTGTCATGCATGTTGCATGTGACCAATCCTGATCAATGTCATGTAGTCCCCATTCAGGTTCACATTTTCAAAGCCTGTTAGATGAATATCATCTACCTGCAATGCAGCTGCACAATGTAATCCTCAGCCAAAGCATGAAAAACAGCACATGATTTTGAATGCAACAGTGACCAACAAATAAGGCAGTAGTAAGTAAATAAATAAATAAGTAGGTAGATACTTGGACTTCAATCCGCAAAAAATATATTCACTGCAATGAACACTGACAAGATGTATGTGCGTTAGACTAAAGCCAGGCCAAATTGACCCGACTTCTCACGTTGTTTTCACTTTAAAAATGCTTCGGGAGTTTTTACCTTGAAGTTAACTGATTAACATCATAATGCCTTGCAACATTATCTCTATGTGCTGAAATTGGTGGCAACAGTGTGCCGAACTTGGGGCTCACAGATGTTAGTCGTGCACTCATGAAATCGTTTCCGGAATGTAGCGCTATGCCGAATATGTTCGATGTTAAAAACTGACTCTGACTCAGCTAGGACTAGCCTGGTCATAGAATGAGTCTAACCCCACCATCCAAACATTTCTTACCAGTGCTTAAGCGCGTAGCAGCAGTATTTCAAAGAACTGTAGTATTATTCAGTTGTTTTCGGAGACCTAGCGAGCCCCCTCCCCAACATCCGCCCGACCCACGCCCGCGACCTCGCTTCACCTCTCCCCTTTACCGCAAAAACATCACGGGCATAGAAAATGACGGGACGGGCATACCGGTCCGTTGATCTCAGCTGATTACACGGCACAATTCTCCATCAGCTAATTATGGTATCTTGCACTCAGTCAGTGGACAAATATTAACTTTCCCACTAATAAAATCTAGAGAATCAACACTGGATTATGGTAAAGTTTTGTTAGCAAACAAACAGGGTAAAATCAGTTTAATTTATTTTCTAAGACGCCATCAACGCAAGTAATATATGCCACAGCACATTTTGGAATGTTATAGAACAAGTGTAGTCATATTTAGGTGTTCGAGTATGCTAAGTATAGAACATACTATCACTGAATGCACAAAAATACTCCTGGATAGTCACCTATGATTTGATCAGCTGACCGGAATTTGTCCACCAATTCCTGCCGACAGTACACGAGCACTAAAGATCCTTGTGAGTACAAGTGCGCTTATTTTATTCGAGTGGCAGGAAAAGGCTTCCATATTCTTGGTCCATGCAGAGCTAGCTGGTCAAAATTTCTTAGGACCATTGCTGCCGTATTCTGAATAAAAAATTTCCATTTACATCAAACATTTATCGAATTGGATTCAAAATTGCTACCTCAATGTACAGTTTAGCTCAATCTGCTTCTATGATGGTGGAATTCATAGTACTTTTTTGTCCATCACACGAATAATTCGCGAGTTCGGAGCAATTGGTCCGCGGCTATTACAACCCGCGTCGTTATTGTCATCATAGTAGTGAAGTCTCGTTCGTGAGTGGGGTACAGCGGTCGTGTTACGTAGGTAAGAAATAACTATTTTGTCAGGTTTGTGATGATGGGTGTGCGTTTTCTGCTGTTTCGTGATTGGGTATTCCTGAGGAACGTTCTAGGGCATCATCTTCAGTTTTGAGGTAGTGTATGGACTGCCCGCCTACCAGTTCTCAGTCGTCGCCTTCCTGGTTCTTTGTGGGTCACGGCCGCGTACAAGGATAACGGGTTTGTATCGGGGACTTCCTTCGATGTCAGTGTTCTTTGCCCCGGTGAATTTACATTTCAGGCTCGGAGGTGAGAGGCATAAGACCCACCTGGGGTACAAAAGGTAGTTTGTCACTCTTCTTCATTACCTGCTAACTGGGTACCTATTACCACTGTTTGCTCACCTTGTGAGCACTGGTGTGTCCCTCATCGATTCAGATTTAATTGGTAATTGAGGGTGAGCTTGTAATGGTTTTAGGTGCATCTCATGTAATTTTGGTTGCACTATCATTTGCCATTTCACAGATGGTCTTGGAGCCATGGGCAATCCATGGGCAATCCTCCCTGTGTTTTGCACTTACTTTGCTGTGTGAAACCCGTCCCCTCTCCCTGGCTCTGCAGTATGAGGCATACAATCCTTTAAGTCATCTATTTCACCATTATTGACTTGGGGGCTGTGAAATTAATATTGCAAAGGGTGTCAGCAAAAATGGTTCCTAGCCATGAGAGGAAGCTGACAGCATATTATTTTAAGGTTTCAGTTTGTCTTCATAGATGTTAGCATAGTTTCCCACCATACATTGGTATAATGTTATTCTATCCAAATCTCCTTCCTCTATTACATTTCCCTGTTACATTTCCAATATGTTCCATCAAAACCCATGTCCCTCTTCGAATGTAACCTAATTTATGGGTAGCCCCCATGCCATCTCAAGTTGTTACAAGGTAGTCCAGTTGGTTGCTATGATGGCTGTTTACAGGTGACTGGTCAGAAAGTTGTTTTTATAAAAGTGTCATGCTGAACATATTTACAAATGTGTTAGTGGTTCTTCCACCATGTGTGCCTGAAGTTAATGTCCAGATGGGAACAGATATATCTATCCAAGGTCACTTGCCTTAAAGTGCATGTTTTGAATGTTGGAGGGAAGCATTGGCTTATTTGTTTGTCTCTAAAAATATTACTGCCTCTCAACTTTACCCCCTCCCCCACTGCTTTTACAATTTCAGGTGTGGGCATGCATGCTATTTTTCTGATCATCTGACACTTTGCCTGCCCATTTTATTCCCATGCTGTTTTATTTTAATTAATGACAATATGCAGGAGCATAGCCAAGGGGAGGGCCAGAGAGGCAGAGGCAGGCACTAGACACTGGTCAAAGAATTTGGTCCAAATCCATACATGCTGGAGAATTGGAGAATATTGGACATTGAAGTCTCCCCCCCCCCCACACATTACAGGCTCTTTTGTGGCCATGTGCCTGACCTGTTATTGTACCATTCACTTTTGACCATTGCCCTGAGCTGTAACAGGTTTAATTACATTCCATGTGGCCATGCAAGAGGTGAGTTATGCCCCGCCGCTTCTAACATTAAGACCTGCATCTTTTTGGTTGGCAGGTGTGGTGCGGATATTGTAACAACATCAAGATGAATGCAGGGGCAGTGAGACAGGTGCGGCGGAATGTCCGCAATGTTGTCCACAACTACACAGATGCACAGGTGAGTGCTCGGCCTGCAAGTGTGCATCAGCAAGGTCTGCATGTCCATCTGTAGCAGGCAGTTGGCTGAATGGTTGTAGCATTAGACTTCAGGTTGAAAGGCTGGTAAGTGCTCCTTGTGTGTACTTCAGATTATTCTCAGAATGTGATGACAGTGCTGTGACATTTTGCCACACATATTAGAATGCTAAGTTGTGATGAACCACACAGAACTACTCACTTTGTCACACACCTTACCACACATCAGTTTGCTTCTCTAATGCAACAGCTTTGCACATGTTCAGATTGGGGCAAGTTGCCAGAAAGACAGGCTAGCAGTTGTATGTTTTTGTTTTCTGCCTGAACAGTTGTATTCCTCACAGACTGGCCTTGTGCGTCTCCCAGGTCAAGGTCCGCGAGGCCACATCCAACGACCCATGGGGCCCGTCGTCCACGCTCATGTCGCAGATCGCCGAGTACAGCCACAACATGGTCGCCTTCACGGACATCATGCAGGTAGCCATGTTGGCCGCTCGGATGGCAGAGGCGGCCGGCAGCTAGTGGATCAGTGTGGAGGGGCTGGGGGTGCCCAGTCCAGCTGGTCTGGTCGGCGGCGGTGATGGCGAAGTGAGCGAAATAGCGTTTGAACTGGTTGTATTCCTGGCCTCAGTTTCCAAGCTGCCCCTTTTCAAAGCAAAGCTGGTTAATGAATGTGCATTAGTCTGGATGAAAGAAGCATGTGACGCAGAATCAGCGCCCTGGTAGGCGATGTGAAGATCGTCGGTCTTCCCTGTTCACTGCTGTGGTGCCTGGCTGCTGCTGGCATGACATACCAGCGATGTGTACGTGTGTGTACGTGTGTGTGTGTGTGTGTGTGTGTGTGCGCGCGCGCGTTTGTGTGTGTGTGCGTGTGTGTGTGTGTGTGTATGTGCACGCTGAGAGGTCGTGCCCCGGCGATGACCTGGTGACCTGACCGGCGTCACGCGCCGGCTGTCCTCGCAGCGGCGTGCGCCGGTGCACGGCTCGGGAGCCTCCGACCTCAGAGCCGTGCTCTGCGTGTTCAGAACGCCGGCATCGGCGGCACGCCTCGCGCAGTCCGTGCGGCGACTCCCCTGGACCGTCGGCCTCCCCGGCGCCGCCGCCAGTGGGCGGCAGACGGGAGAGCGTGCCATGTCACCGCGCGGAACCCGACACCCGGTGGCAGGTGACCGGCAGCTCGCTGCCGCTCGGAAGGACGGCGTGGGCGGGACGATACGTGACGGCGGCCTTGCAGGCTGAACGTCGCCCAGCCGGCGCGGTGAGCGGTGGTGAGCGGCGCGGCGCGCGCGCGGCGCGGTGATCACCGCGAGCTCCGCACCCGGCTCCGGCCGGAACCTTGCCGGCATCCGGAGGCGCAGACGGCCGCCGGCCAGCGGCGGCGTGACGTCAGCGGATGTCGGCACGCTGCACCGGCCCCGGTGTGATTCCTGTGCCTCGTGGCGCGGGCAGGCCGCACGTGAGGGGGTTTTAAACGGACTTCTGCCACGCCCTCATAAGCGCCGTTCTTAAGCAGCTTTGAAGAATTAAAAGTCGTTATCAAAATGACACGCCTTAGAGGGCGAGGGTGAAATTCGCCCTCCCCTTGCTTCCACTGAGGCTTGAGGGACGAATTTTTCAAAGATTAATGCTCGGTTCATGGTTTCTTTAGTGCTGGGTCGTGGTGGCGTTTGGTGCGGTGGTTTAGTGTCAAACGGTCAACCAATCAAATCAATCAAACCGGCGGTGATTTAGACTGGTGATCGGAGGCAACAATGTTTTGATTCGCTGGCGTCGCCACGGTTATGCAATCAAACAATAAGTAGTTGGTGTGATATGGCGGAAGGTACGCGTATTGCTGTATGATTATGACGGTATTTTTTAAAGATTGGAGGTCAAACGGGGCCATTGGTATTAATGTAGAAACGAATTGCGCAATCGATCGCGCTGATTGTGTGACACGGCTCATTCTGATTCTGGGTAATGCGTAAACAGATGTCAGGGGCGCTAAAGTCCCAGACGACTGGCGCGTTCCCGACGCCCGCCGTGTCGTCCGTTCATGTCCTTCCGCGGACGCCCGCGCCAGCTGGGGCCAATGGCAGATGAGGCGGCGTGGTGAGCTCCAAGGTCGATCGAATGAGAGGTCGGCTCGTTGACAAAGCCTTTAGAAGGATGACGTCAGAGGTATGCAGACATCGGCGTACGAACGTTTATCTCGATGGTGTGTCCGCCACACCGAGGGTGCGCTTTCATCGATGCGACGGACCGGTGCTGGCAGAGAGCGGAAAGTCCTGTGAAGTTGTGACGTACGTAGATGCCGGTTGACTAGGCTGGTTTTGGCTTTGCTTGACAGCCCGTTTTCCGTAGTGTGTGCTCCCGAAGCCGCTGGGTGGCTCCTTTGATCGGGACGCTTGTTAGCAAAAGCAAGCGATGAGATTTCGCGTTCTTGCCGGCCGGGTCATCCCCCTTTTCCTACTCACGCGTGTTGAAGCGCTTGAGTAGGGAGTGGGATGATTATTTAGGGGGGATGCGCGCGATTATGATCATGATATATGATATATGATATGATTCTTCATCTGCACTGCGAACGTTCTGACGTGACGTCACCACGTGTTAGCGTTCCGACGATCGCCGCGTCCCATCCTTTGTTGCGGAACGGGAGCGCATTTTTCGAGGCCATTATGCTCTTGTTGGAAACTGGAAACCTTGTTATGTCGTGCCAAACCCAGTTTTGGCGCTCCTTCGCGGCGCAGGTCCTGTTGGCGTTGGCATTTTCGTTTTTTTTGTGTCCAGTATGATGTCGATTGATTTGGACTGATCTACAGGAAAGATTTTGTCACGAACTGTCTTCGGCTATGGTTTGGCATAATAACCTGCGCCGTCGCCTCCGATTGTGATGACTTTTGTATTTTCGTTAACCCGCTAAAAGTAGCGAAGCGGGTTATTTTTTGCACCGTACCGTGAGAGGCAGCCTTGCCATTGAGCTGGCTTTGGGGGCGCGGCGTAGCACACCACCGCCCGGCGTCAGGGCTGGCGCACCCCGGCCGCCCGGCGTCAGGGCTGGCGCACCCCGGCCGTCCGGCGTCAGGGCTGGCGCACCCCGGCCGCCCGGCGTCAGGGCTGGCGCTCGGCGGCCGCCCAGCGTCAGGGGTGGCACACCCCGGCCGTCTGGCGTCAGGGCTGGCGCACCCCGGCCTCCCCGCTAACCCGCTGCACAGCGCCAGCGGTGGCTGCCCCGTCAGGGATGAGGGGGGGGGGGGAGGGGGGAGACGCCTCCGCGGCGCCGCGGAGCAGGGCACCTCCCGCAGTGCCGGCTGGTAGCGGTGTCCCCCGCGTGGTTGTCAAGTGAGGACATCTCTCGCGTGCTGTCGCCTCCCCGTCCTGCTGTGATCACCCCCCCCCCCCCCCCCCCCGCCTCGATCACGTGGCCTGGCAGCAGGCGCCGGACAGACAGGAAGCCGCCTAAGTCTGCCGCAGTACTCGGACCCGAATCGATACTGCGTGTGTATGGGGGAGAGGGGGGGGGGGGGGGGGGCGATGATGGGGAACGGTGGAACAATAACACCTGCTCCGCCTCCGCGCTGCATGGTGACCGTGAAACACCTGTGTGCGAAGCCCGGCTGCTCTCTTGATCTTTTTACCGTGGTCGATGTGTCTGCACGTCTGGGGCACGGGGCATCAAGCGCAAGCCAGGAGCTTATCAAGTTTTTGTCTGCAGAAGCCTTGGGTGACTTGAAGACCCCTGTCACTGCTATCACCACAAGCGCTACCGGCGCTGATTTTTGCGAGCAACCGAATGGTCGCGTACAGCGAGTCCCCAAACCGCAACACCGCGGTCATGAGATATCCCAAGCGCTTCCGTTTCCCAAGCCCAGCAAGGTCTCTCCCACCGTTGAGTCTCGCAGTCTCGGTCGCTCGCACCGCATGAAGATGCTTTGAGTTACTTATGTTGACCCAACGTAATCGTATGCTGCACGAAATTCGCACCAGTGTCGTATTGTTGTTCTCCGTCTTCGTTCTCCGTCTGTTGTTCTCATCAGCACCGTTGTTCCCCGTCGTGAAGACAGACCGCTCGCTGGCACTCCTCCGACGCGAGCCGGTGCCATTTGGCCGGCAGTGGGGCGTCAGGCCCGGCGGCGCGGCCGGGGGTCTGCCTCGGGGCTGGCCAGCCGCTGACCCGGCCTCGAACGCGGCGCCGTATCGCTGCCGCGCGCGTGCGCGCTCTCTCTCTGTATCATCTGATAATGCGGCCGGCCGGCGTCGCCAGCTCAGCCCGATGCAGGCGTGGTGCCTGCGTGACCGATCGTCCTGAATGCCGGTGGACAATGAACGGCGGTGCTGGCGTTCACGGCGCGTTGCGTTGCCGGAAGGTCAAGCAGCGACGGGCGCAGTGTCGGCTCGCGTGGTGCTGCACCAGACCGCTGCTGGTACCAGACCTGTGGTCAGGCATGCGCCGTCGTGACGTTCCGCTGGCTGTAGCACTTTGTATGCGCGCCAACAACAAAGCAGCGATGGACGTGTCGTGCGGAGGGCATGCACTGGACATGGATATGGCAAAAAGCGAACGAAGAGGACATAAGCAAATGCGTGCGGAACTTTTGTTTCTGAATGAAATTCTAACGCTGTTTTTTTCGTGCTACCGATATTTTGCGATTATCAGCTGCCGATAATCGTCCTGCTTCGTGCCGGTATCTATCCGATATAAATGTTTATTTACCAAACGGATAAATCCTATCGGTATTCATCATGCTGTTTGCCGTTGGCCTACATGCGGTTATCTTTTTCATCACATTTGCAGTCTCCGTCACATGACCTGCTCATCACCCTCGGCCGCGATAGCTCGTTGACGAGGCGGCCATCCTCGGGACGTCGCGACACGCGATGAGCGCGCGGGTCCGGGGGCGGAGCCGTCCTGTGACGCGCGCCGCCTCTCGTACGGCGAGATCCGCGCCACCGGCCGCGTTCCCGTGACGTGCTGGGACGGCCCGCCGGCACGCGTCGTGACGGGCGTAAACACGGCGCGGTACGGCACTACCGCCGCCGTGGCAGTGACGCGCGTCGCAAGACCCCGCTCGGCCTGCGTCACGCTCTCCGGACGCCGTGGCGGCGGCGGTGCTGACTCACCGCCGCCGCCACGCCCCGACGGCTCGCGGTCAATAGGGGAGCCGCGGCGGAGGTGCCGGTGCTGACTGAGCTGGATAAACCGAGCCTGGAGTCCAGGAACTACGAGCCCTGGAACAGAGTGCCAGGCGATGGCTGGCTCTGATACTGAAGGCGGGGATCCGTTTCCGTTGTAGTAAGAACCGTTTTGCTTACGTGTCCCAGGCACTGAAAGGACGTCAGAAAATCGTTTAACTGTGTGGTTCGCTATTCGAAGCGCCGGACTGTCGAAAAACTAGCGAATTGCTGTTGTGAATTCCTCGCCTATGTTGGGACCCCAGCCTGTCGTGGGAATTTAAATAGCATTCACTTTAAGCTATTAAATGTTGGAGATTTAGAGCCCGAAGAGACCCAAGGACCGCTGCGGTCCAGGAGCCTCCACGCTGTCGCGTGGCGAGCAGCCCTGGCTGCCGACAGCATCGGCCCGTCACCGGCCGCTGCTGCCGGCGTCCGCGGCGCGGCCAGGTGCGCGCCTCCGGGCCGGCCGGCCGGCCGCAGTGCAGCGGTCACTGACCTGCCGCCGTCCCGTCCCGGCTCGGCTCGGCTAGGCTCGGCCCGTCCCGGCTCGATTCTGCCCGGCCCGGCGCGGTGCGGCTGCTCGCGCCGCGCCGCGCCGCCCGGCGCCGGCGGAGCGGGATATCCGGACGGCGCGCGCCGCCGCGCCGGCTGTGGTTAATCTGGGCGCGCGGCGCCGCACCGTGCCGCGGCACGTATCCGCGGAACGGAGGCGGCCGCGCTCGAGCGCCGCTTGGCGCCGGCCATGTGCGGTCGCAATGGAAAGGGAAATCTGAAGGAATCCTGCGAAAGCACCGCCCTGAGAACGTTGCTGTGGCGCATACGTTTGTCAGGAATTTTGCTGTCTCATTGTGGTGTAGTAAAGCTCAGAAAAGCTTTCCGTCTCGATGCCACAGCGCTGTGGTCTTAAATTGTACGCTCGGTCTGCTCTGTGTGTCTCGTAGGACATCCAGCGTCTTCATCATGCTGCTCACATGCTCACATCAGCTCACATCACATTCATCATGCTCACATCAGCGTCATCTCAGCGTCAGCAGCGCTTACCGGGACTGATATGGCGCACCAAGGGCGTTCGTGCGTGTCGCGGCGGATCAACTTGTCCAAATCGGGACGAATCTTACGTGCGGGGCTGACTGCCGAGTGGCCTTCGTGTTTCCACTCGACTTGCGGCCGAAGTTCTCAGAAAGCTTGTTTGAAACGGTTGGTCTATGGCCTTGAAGGGGGGGAGGGTTAGGGAATGTCGGGATGGGGTTGGGTTGGGGAGGGGGTGCAGTGGAGTGGAGTGTAGGCACTTTCCAGTATAATGCACTGGCTGAACTTGCGAGCTCTCGAAAAAGCGGCGCTTCCCGCTGTGTTTTGTTGCGTTGCGTTTCCTCCACGAACGCCAATCGTGGATCCAATTTCGAAGCACCTGGGCATGAGACGGGAAGAGGGGCGACAACATCCATTCGGCAGGGTGCACGGCTTCCAGGCGGGAGGCCCTGGTTCGACGCGTGGCGGACGTTGTGGCCTTTGTGCGTAGATATCACCATTGTGAACGCTGGCGCTGCTAAAGAGTTGGAAGACGAATTTCGCCGTGCAATGCTCAAAAGGGGAGCCTCATTTTCCCACCGCAGCGAGCGCGTTAAAGTAACGAACCCGTAGTCACATCGGCTCATCGGCGATTTCCGGCTCTTGTCTGAAAGGTTAATTATTGTCGACGATAAGAGACATGATACTTGAAGTATTGACTGAGTATTGAAATATGTAGCAAATGGTGATCACAGTTGTGTTTTTATTTAAAAAAAAACACGTCGCTGAGAGATTATTTTGTGCTGGTTTCCTCAATGAAGTTTTCTACCATGCTTTGCTTGCATGTACCAGCTAGATGTATACCATATTTGTATTTTGTTACAGACAGCATGCATGTGCTTGTATGCATCATTAACATTAACGGCATGCTTCTGCCCTTTGTTCCAACTTCTACTCTCGCCCTTTGTTTGCCGTGACGCCATCGTGGCGCTGCCTTGCGGTATCTCGCCTCAGTATCAGATTTTTCGTCCTAGCAAAAGCAGTGCTAAATGACAAAAGGAGTGCTGGCTGCCCGAAAATGACGCCGCAGATGTTATACGTACTGTTGTGTGACGTCACTGGTACCTACTTTGAATCATATGATCTAGTGTACCATTGACAACCAAAAACACTGCCGATTCTGCCACGTGTTTGGATGACCCAACCGATGTCCCGTGTCCCGGTACGTAATGACTCGTGTGGGTGCCACATCATGTCACGTGCTGCCTTGGACCCAGTTCATGGTCATGACCTCGATCCAGATCAGGATCAAAGACGGCGAGGAATTATCAGAGACGGAGGAATTATTAGATAATTATTGGAGCTCGACAACATCGAACAAATGAAACGAGCGTCACGGAACTGAAACGGCCCTCTCTGACCTAGCCCACTGAACTGACCGCGGTAACGGGCGCCAAATGAAGGTCGCTATGTCGCGGCGTGGGGCGCCAGCCGATCAGCTGATTCACGTCTGAACGTGGTACGAGCTGCTGCGGTCCGCCGCTGAGCGCGGCCGATCAGTCGGATCACCGTTTTATAGATAAGGCAGTAGGAGGAAGGCAGTAGACAGCATTATTCCTCGGAAAAAACAAAACAGGAGAATGAAGCGTTTCGTTTATTTATTTTTGCTTCGCTTCTGCTATTCGTTTCGGCAAGGGCATGTTGCCGAAATATCGGCTCATCTCTGTCTTCTGCTATCCGTTTCAGTAAAGGCATGTTAGCGAAACATCAACTTATTCATACCTCCATTCTCCTGGTTTTTCTCCGAGGAATAAGGCCATTACCACTATCTCATCTATGTGCATAATGTTCCTCGCAAATGCACTCAGCATCGCACGGAATCGCTGTGTTCTATGAGAGAGGACGCTGCCCTGTTGACGTAACGTCACGCCTGACGTCACCGGTGCGCGCCTTGTGCTGCCAGATGATCTGGCGCCGACTGAACGACCACGGCAAGAACTGGCGTCACGTGTACAAGGCGCTGGTGCTCATGGACTACCTGATCAAAACGGGCAGCGAACGGGTGGCCCAGCAGTGCAAAGAGAACATCTTCGCCATTGAGACGCTCAAGGACTTCCAGCACTTCGAGGAGAACACGGATCACGTGCGTGCGCAGGGCACTCGTGGGGTGGGGTCCGCAGCGGGAGGGGGAGGACTGTGGGATGGGGTGCAGGAGCGTGGGTGTAATGGGGTGCAGGAGTCGCTGCACGCTGCATGCCACTGCGTTTCATTACTTAATTCCACCAGAAGGCTCCCGACAATTTTGCACCGCACACAGTTGTTAAATTTGTTCTAGTGTGTTTCCTTTAGTTTTGGGGTCATTTTATGTGTATGGCTTTGGGAACGTCCTATCATGCTTTAGGCTGTCGCGTTGAAACAGTGATTGACGCGTTTTCGAATGGCGGACTGGAGGCCTGACCTGGCCTCGTGACCTCGCACCTGACGTCACGTGACTGGGCGGCGGCAGGGACGCGCCATTCGCGAGCGGGCCAAGCAGCTGGTGACGCTGCTGCAGGACGAGGAGAAGCTGAAGCAGGAGCGGCAGCGGGCCATCAAGGCGCGCGAGCGTTTCCTCGAGAGCAGCCAGGGCCTGGCCGGCCTGGTGAGTGGGGCTGGGACGCTGGGACGCTGACGTCGGCGTCACGCTCAGGTGGACCCGGCGGCGGCGAGGACCGGCCGGCCGCCTGCCCTCTCACCTCCCTGCGGGCATTGATTATAAGAATGATCATAGGAGTGGAATGGGAATGGAATGTCAGGAATGATGGCTGTGGTGAGGGCCGGGCTGTCAGCCGCGGCTGCCTTGGCACGGGCGACTGCTACTCACGTGCGACTACCGCGCAGAGTCGGGAGGCGGCCAGTTGGGTCGTCGGACGCCGCGGCCGCCGCGGGCCTGCAGGGCCGGCGCGCGTCCGCACCGTTGGCGCCATGTGATGTGGCGCGTACTCGATGAAAGCCCGCCACCTGGCCCGACTTCGGTACCGCTGCATGTTCTCGTCGCCCTAAGTCGCCTTTTGTCGCCCTAAGCCTGTGAGATGTGTTTATGCCTGTGTGGGTGTCATGTGTATTGTCTTGATGTCTGTAGTCATCTACGTTCTCTTCCGTCAGTGCGGCTCCCGGTATTATGACAGCCAATGTTCTGGTCATGTGTGATGACAGCTGACACCCCCGCCGCTGGTGTATGCGTCGTCGGTGCTCCGACTATCACCGGTGCACCTGTCCGCCCCCCCCCCCCCCCCCGCCGCTGACTGGCGGCCGTCTCCGTCCCCAGGACAGGCCGCGTGACCACAGTCCGGGCCCCATGAGCCCGACCGAGGTGAGCTGAGGGTCCGGCTGCGCCCCGCCGGCCCGGGCCGCGCCGGCCGCCGACGCCCGGGCCGGCGGGCAGGTGGTGGGGCACGGGTGGCTGTGGTGGCAGTTTTGACTGAACAGCGGGCTTCTCCTTGCTATCACGGCGGTGCTCGCTGTTGTTTTCGTGGGATGGCAAGGCTACCACCTCCCTCGTTTGACCGCGTTTTCAAAGACAAGGACGTTCGTGGACAGAGCGCGGCCACCCAGTCTGCCACGCCGTTCCGAGTGTCGCTGGTCGATGCGGGACAGTGCGAGATGCCTCCCCGTTTTCGGGTGATCCCCCTCCTTCGGCTGGCCCTCTGACCTCTGGCTGGTGAGGGCCCGTTTACTGACGACCGCCTGTCTGGGGTAAGGTGAGGCAAATCTGAGACAATATGACAACAGCAAATGCCGACATATGACAGCAAGTGCCGGCCGCCACTCGCTCCACCATACGCGTGTTGAGGACGGCGTCCACATAAAGTTCCCCGCATGGGGAATCGAACCCGAACCAGTCTGGACCCTGAGCCGGCGCGCGTGCGGTGCTGCGTGCCTGACCCGGGCCGCGTGCCTGCCAGCGGCCGGTGGACGTAACGCGGCCGGCGGCGCCCGATCTGGAGATGGCGCGACCGCAGACCTCCGGCGAGGAGGAGCTCCAGCTGCAGCTGGCCATCGCCATGTCGCAGGAGGAGGCGGAGCGCGAGCGACAGCGCTCCCGCTCCGACGAGGTCCGCCTGCAGATGGCGCTCAAGGAGTCGGAGCACGACGTGGCGCCCGCCAGGTGAGGGGGAGGGGCAGCAGAGCGGCGTCGGTGTCGCCCGACGGACACGAACACGCCGGGCGGCTGGGCGTGCTGCGGTGGGCTGAGCGCGAGAGCCGACGCCAGTGCTGCTGACTGTCTGGCGTTGCACCGGCTACTACTGACGGCGCTGGGTGGGCGCTCTGTGCGCTGTGCTGGGCGGCCGCTGCCCTCCCAGCGGTGTGGGCGCGCCGCGCGAGCGCTGGGGCTGCGCGCTCTGACGTGCGTGCCCTCGACCGGCAGTGCGGCCGGCGCCGGCGGCCTGCGCCGGCCGCCCGGCGAGCGGCCCTCGGCCATGACCGACCTGCTCTCGCTGGACCTGGGCGGAGGAGCCGCCGCCGCCACCGCCACCGCCCCGGCCGCGGCCGCGGCCCCGGCGGCGGTGGTCGCCGACCCGTGGGGCCTGCCCGCGCCGGCCCCAGCCAAGCCGCAGGTCAGTCAGCTGGTGACGCCCGGCACGGGCCGTGTGTCGCTGAGGCGCGGGGTGCCGAGCTGGGCCAGCTGCTGGGATATGTCACCGCTTACCTGCTGTTTTGCTCACATGCCACCGCGTTGGATTGGTGTTTGGCCGTTGTCTGGCGTGCGGTCGTGGATGGGCGTTGTTTCAGAGCGACTCTGGGCTGTTTTGCTCCCAGCGTGTTGTCGCACATGCTCTCTGGGTGTGCTTGTCGCCCGTTCGGCTCTCTGAGTAACTGGACACCCGGTAATGTCACTCGTCGCTCTTTTTATAGCTCTGGGATGACATGGATAGCTCTGACCGTGCGTCGGACGGGGTCGTGTGTTAGCCTCTCTGTCGATCAAAAGACCTGAAGCCAGTCCGTGCGATGATTGGCTGTGGCAGTCAAGTCTGCATTGAAGCCGGGCGTTTCCCGGGCGGCGACGTGAGATGTCCGGTTCTGTGTCGAGAGCAGGACCTGCCTTTTTGTTTCTCACCATTTTACCAGCGTGAGCCTAGTGCACAGTGCTTGACTGACCAAGAAGTGGTAATGATACGTGCGGCTTCAATGAATGGGCTTCAGTCCCAACATGGTGGTGTTCAGTGTGTTGGATATGGTCCGGGCCGCTGGGCGGCTCCGCCTTCGCCCTGCGCCGTCCGCCGGGGAGGATCCATGAGCAGCGTCCCCCTGGCGGCCGGTAGGCGGCGCTGCGTCCCGGCCCGGCCGCCACCAACCCGTTCCTGGCGGCGCCCGTGCGGCGCCCGCCGCGCCTCCAGGTCAGGTCAGGTCAGGTCACGGCGGCGTCAGCTCCCCGCTGACCGCGACCGCTGGAGGGACGTCCCCTCCCCCGCCTGCCCGCCCACCGCCTGCCGTCTGGGATCATGCAGTCGAGTCCGCACCGCACTGGTTTGGACCGTCGGGCGGCCGTGGAAGCTGTGGACCAAATGTCCGTGGTGTTCACGTCCAGCTTTCGTGCTGCGGAAGCGGGCGGCCATGCTCTGTGTGTAGTCACGGCTGCAGCTCATAGCAGCCGCCAGCAAAAGAAAACAGTCACCCGTTAAAGCTGGATCAAGATCTGTGTAGAGTCGGAATCTAGTGCGCTGCGGATGCGGGCAAGACTGCGACAGCGAATCGACCGGAATGGCCCGTCTCTTGAGCGGACCGGCCGGCTGGCGGCGACAGGGGGGGGGGGGGGGGGGGTCCCCGCGCCTGGCGCCCCTCTGGCTGTCCTCGGCGACTCTGACGGCTCCCGGTCGCCACAGACCGGCCGCCGCAGAGTCGCCGCCCACTAACCGCACGCTGGGTGCCGTGCGTTGGTCGTGGGTGGGTGTGCCGTGGTGCTGCTACTAACGAGGCGGCGTCACGGGCGCGCGGTGGCTCGCAGGCCGCAGCCGGGGGCGGCGGCACTCACCGCTGTGACGGGTGAACCCCGACCACCCGCTGGCCGAGCAGCCGCAGCCGGGGCGGCGGCACTCACCGCTGTGACGGGTGAACCCCGACCACCCGCTGGCCGAGCAGCCGCAGCCGGGGCGGCGACACTCACCGCTGTGACGGGTGAACGCCGACCGCCCACTGGCCGAGCAGCCGCAGCCTCTGAACCAGCTGATGAAACTGCCCAGTGTTGGGGCACGTCCCAATCCGGCCCTTCCCGAGTTATCAGAGTTGGCTGCGTTCCCATTCCCTTTCCGGGTGTTGCGCAACACGTTTCACCCTGCGGAATGCGCAGTCTTTTTTATGTGAACAGCTTGACCTAGTTAACTCGGCAGCACATCCAGCCCTGGCCGGTTTTTTTCAAAGACTAACACCTGGCCTGAGGTTTGAAGGCCAGCGAGATCCAGTCCTATGAAATTCTATCCGTTTGACGTATTTCACGAGATGCCATCCTTGTCCCTGACCGAAAACACCAACACTCGCTGCTAAAGCCTCACTCCAGCTTTGGTACGAAGTCATCATTTCCCGCCCGCCTTTCCTTATGCGACGCGAATCCGAGGACCGTTGCGGTGCGGCGTTGGCTCCGACTTACGTGTAACCTGAGACCGTGCACCCGCCGCCGCCGTCTGTCCGTCCACTAACGCGGTGGCAGCGTCACGGCGGCCGTCGTGACGCGCGTGACGTGACGTTCACTAACGCACGCGGCTCCGGCCGCCGCCGGCTGCGAGCCACGCTCCCCAGATGTCGCTGGGGCGCTGGTGACCAGTGAGGCGCGGTCGGGGCTGTCGGTCGGCTTGTGGTGAGCTGGGATGTGGTGCGGAGGTGTGACGGCTGCGGCCCGGTGGCTGAGCCAGCGCCTGGCGTGCTCCTTGATCTCTCGACGAGAACCCCGTCTCGTCGCCGTCGCCTGACGGCGTCGACGCGTCCGTGCTGGACCGTTGTCTGTGTTGAACCCGCGCGATCAGACAAGCAACGAGCGTGACTGAGCAGCAGCAGCGTGAGCAGCGTGAGCACCTCCCCGCCGGTTGGAGCGGTCGCTGGCCCCGGGCGGCGCACGGGAGGTCGGCGGCGGGCCAGGCCTCTCCCAGCTTCGCCGGACGCCCCGCGCCCGGCTTCAGACCAGCGGCGGGTGATTCGGTACTGGGGCGCGCGCGCCGCCGGGCGCCGAACGTTCAGCAAGAGGGCGACAGGCGAATGGCCGGCGTGATGGAGCTAGTGATGGCTAGCCCGCTGCTGGACTGAAAGCTCCAGCCACGCTGACCTGCCTGAGGGCGCCACACGGGCGGGCCGGCGGCCGCCGCCAGCGCCGGCGTGTTGGGCGCGGTGGCGCGCATTGCCGCGCGGGGCGTCCTCTGCCGGGCGCGGCCGACGGCCAGCAGGCCGCGCGCGCCGCCGGCCGCCTCGCCCGCCAGTGCCGCCCCGGCCGCCGCCGCGCCGTCATGTACCAAAAGCTGCTGGAGGACGACGACGAGGCGTCGGCGGCGTCGGCGCCAGCGTCGGCGTCGGCGTCGGCGTCGGCGCCGACGGCGGGCGCCGGGGACGCGGCGGTCGACTGTCGGGAGGCGGCAGCGGAGCGGCCGTCAGCGCGGCAGGTAGAGTCCTGACCGCCGCCGACGCCAGGCGCCGGGTCCGTGCCGGCCGGAGGGGCGGCGGCCCGGCGGCGGACGGCGGTCGCTGTGGCCCCGGGACTGCGCGACGCCGTGTGTGTCTCTGTGTCGGCGCCAGGCTCGGCCGCGTCCGCAGGAGCGCGCGCTGGGCCGCCTAGCGCCATTTCTCCCGTGTCGCACGTGACTGCGGTGCGCTCGGTGCTGTCCGTCTGTCCCCGGCCCCGGCAGGGGCCGTCGACTGAGTGTCCGTCTCTCGATGATGTTACAGGCCGCCGCCGCCGCAGCACCAGCCTCCATCGACCCCTGGGGCATGCCCGTGCAGCCGGCGGCGCCCGCCCCTAAACAGGTGAGCACGCGGCACGGCTGTCTGGCGGCGGGGCGCCGAGTGGTCGCAGTCGCAGTCGCAGTTGCAGTCGCAGTCGCAGTCGCAGTCGCAGTCGCAGTCGCGGTCACAGTCGCAGTCGCAGTCGCAGTCGCAGTCACAGTCACAGTCACGTTCGCAGTCACAGTCGCAGTCGCAGTCACAGTCGCAGTCACTGTCGCAGTCACAGTCGCTGTCACTGTCGCTGTCACAGTCGCAGTCGCAGCCACAGTCGTAGTCGCGCAGTCACAGTCGCAGTCGCAGTCGCAGTCGCAGTCGCAGTCGCAGTCGCAGTCGCAGTCACAGTCGCGGTCACAGAGGGTTACGCTCAGACTCGCGTCGAGTTCTCTGGGTCTGTATTGCTTGTGTGCTCCATCGAGTGTGTGATACTTAGGGCAGACGGGGAGTCGAAGTCGATGTGGCATTGATGTTTTCGTTTTGGCCGACGACTGTCTTCAATGATAAGGTGCTTGGCCAGTGACTACGCCGTTATTGTGGGTTCGGCTAACCGACGATAGACATTATTTACTCCAGCATGCAAACTCATACTGCAGATAGTTGTCAGATATTCGCATTACGGAATGAAGGCAAGAATTCGAAGTGGAATGGATTGAAAGACTGTCCAGTAGAGTCACGGACAGTGCACATCAGTTGCTTCCTATATCCTTCCGATTGTGCCCTGCTCCTCGGACGGCATTCCTCGGCGGCGCGCTCGTCCGTTCCCGGCCGCTGCGCCGCTGGGCCGGCCGGCGGGCCGGGGGAGGAGCTCACCGTCTGTTTACCCCGGCCGCCAGCCGGCCGGAGCGGTGGGCGGCCGCGCTGTCACCAGCCGGCCCGCTCTCATTGTCCGCCGGCCGGGCCGGCCCCTGCCACGTGCCGACCGCCGGACTGCAGACGATGATCTGCCCTGACGGAGCACGGCGCCGGCTGCAGGCCGGATGTCGTTATGGGGGGGGGGGGGGGGGGGGGGCGGTCACGAGTGTCTGTCGTCTATCTTTGTGTCCACTGTTAGGATCTGTGGGAAGAGATCACTCCGTGCGAGCTGTATTGACTGACTTGTTGTGACTCTTTTGTGACTCCCTCTCGTGCCTTTTCGTCTTCGTGGTCGGTGTAACTGAACTGTAAATTCCATGCATGTGACAGGTCGGGACCAGATATGGACTACAACCGTTGTCTCTGGGCTAAGTATGGACAGTGATGCGTGCCCCGTGGGCTACAACTGTTGTATCTGGGCCAGGTATGGACAGTGATGCGTGCTCCGGTTCAGCTCAGGGGTGTGATTCGTCACTCCCCGACTAGGTTTATATTTGTGTGCAGGTCGGGCTGGGCTAGCTCGTAGTCTTGACTCTTTTGTCACGTCACCTGTGACTCCCAAATGGTCAGTCAAAATGTGTGCCGCTCCTGTGTCGGGGTTAGCTGTGTGCTGTGATCCCTGTATCTGTATCAGCTGTGGGCTGTTACGTATGTATCTGGCTCAGCCGCGAGCTGTGCATCTGGGTAAGCTGTGCGCTGTGTATCTGGGTCACATGTAGACTGGGATTTTTGTATCTGGATCAGCTGTGGGCCGCATTATTCGCATCTGGACCAGCTATGAGCTGTGTGTACCTGGATCAACTGTGGGCTGTGTATGTGGGCCAACTGTGGGCCGTGTATCTGGGTCAACTGTGGGCTGTGTATCTGGGCCAACTTTGGGCTGTGTATCTGGGCCAACTGTGGGCTGTGTATCTGGGTCAACTGTGGGTTGCGTGAGTCAACTGTGGGCTGTGTATCTGGGCCAGTCGTGGGCTGTGTATCTGGGTCAGTTGTGGGCTGTTACACCCGTATCTGGGCCAGTCGTGGGCTGTGTATCTGGGTCAGTTGTGGGCTGTTACACCTGTACCTGTGCTAGTCGTTGGCTGTGTACCTGAGTCAGCTGCGGACTGTGTATCCGAGTCAGTGGCACCATGCGACTCCTCCCTCTGCCGGTGCGGGACACGCCTCCCGTCGCCGGTGCGCCCGGTGCTCTGTTATTGTCCCTGCGGCCTGCGGTCGCCGCCGGCGCCGGCGTCGAGCCCGGCCGGACGCCGGGGGCGCGGCGCGACACCGGAGCTGGCCGCCAGGGCCGTGCCGGCCGGCCGCGTGGCGCGCGGACCAGCTCGGGTGTCGTGACCGCCAGACCCGGCGGGGCCGCCCCCTCCCCCTCCCCCTCCGCCTCCTCCTCCTCCTCCTCCTCCTCCTCTGCGCCGCCGTAGTCGGGTGGTGGGATCAAACAAGGCGCCGGGCGCCGTGGGTTTGTTGTTGTTTCTGCGTGCAGTCATAACCGTCAACAGCTTCACTTATCAAACGGCGGCTCGAGTCGAGACGTAGCCGCAGCTCAGCCCGTACTGCGGGATGGTCCGGATCCATGACGGAGCGCTTGGCTGTGGTGGCTGGCGGACTGGACTGGACTGGACTGGACTGGACTGGACTGGACTGGACTGGACTGGACTGGACTGAACCGGACCGAACCGGACTGGACTCCGCTGGACTCCACTGAACTCCACTGGACTCAATTGTACTGGACTAGACTGGATCGTCCGTCTTAACTGTCCAGGCTCGGCCGGCCGGCGGGACCCCTGACCTGACCTGCGCTGACCTGCGCCCCTGCCGCAGGCGGCGCAGAACGACCCGTGGAGCGGCGTGTCGACGCCGGTGGCCGCCGCCGACCCGTGGTCACCGCTGGACAGGCCGGCCGCGGCGGCGGCCGCCCCGCCAGGTTGGACTCGCCCGGCCGGCTGATGCCGCGGAACGGCGGCCGCTGTCCCGCGCCAGCCGCCGGCAGCGGGCACTGCCCCGGGGCTCCGGCGGGGCCTGCGACGCCAGCTTAACGCGAGGCGGGCGGTGGGGGGGGGGGGGGGGGACGGGAAGCCAACGGGCCGCGTTCTGCGGAGTGTGGCTCCGGATTCGGTGATGACGTGGCGTCAAAGGCTCGCATTGGATGGGCACTCGTGGTGTTGAACAGTATACGGCAGACTGGTTGTAGTTCAGCGGGCATTCCCACACTCGCAACGACGCGACGCCCACATGTCCCTGTGATCACGGTTTAACCGAGCCCCTGCTCCGTGTCCCGTCACGTGACGTCACGTCCTGCCACGTCACGTCACGTCACGTCACGTCCCTGCCGCCGCCGCCGCCTCCGCCGCCAGCCCGGCTGACCGTGCGCTGTCCACCAGCGGCGGCCGTGGACCCGTGGGCGCCGCTGGCGGCGGCCGGCCCCGCCTCGCCGGCCGCCTCCGACCCGTGGGCTCCACTGCATAGCCAGCAGCCGACCTCGCCCCCCAGCGACGAGGACGAGTTCGCCGAACTGACGCAGCGCTCCGGCGGCGCCACCAACGGCGCGCGTGAGTCAGGCGGCGGTCGGGCTGGGCGCGCGCCCGGTTTGGCGGGGCTTGTTAGAGGTTTTGAGTGTTTGCGTTGGTTGTGCGAAGGGAAACGGTCACGGAGCTTGTTTTGCGATCTTTAACAGTTGCGAATAACTGTTAGATGATCTTTTGCAGCTGCAGAAAGTTGTTGGCTTATAGTCTAAAGCTGCGGAGAGCTGTTTTCCATTCTCCAGATCAGTGCGCTATGGTATGTTCCTGTTTGGTCAAAGCGCTCTTGATCAAAACGTTCATGTACTTTTTTACGTGGCCTCGGTGTGCATTAGGTGTGATAAGGTTGCCGGGGAACGCTTGTGAGGCACGCCAGCAGAATAACCTTAGTATCGCCTTGAGATCTCATTTCCCGCCGAAACAAACGATGAGAACCTCACCCAAATTGCGTACCCGACGCGCCCTCGCGGTCCCCATGCGCACCTCCGTCTGCTGCGGTGGCCGCTAGATGTCGGTGCGCGCGGTGTGCGGCAGGCGGCGCCAGCAGCTCGCCGTGGGACATGACCGGCCTGGGCGTGACGCTGACACCATCGCCGGTGGGCGGCGCCTCGGCGGCCGCGCCGGCGCCTGCCAAGCCGCCCACCTCCAAGTCGCCGCACTCGTTCCTCGGCGAGAACAGCGGCCTGGTGAACCTGGACAACCTGATCGGCGCTCCGGCGCCTCAGCCCGCGCCGGCCGCGCAGGGTGGGTGGCGCGGCGGGCGGGCGGGCTGTGGAGTGGGTGGATAGGGCTGGAACTGGCGCTGTGCGTAGAGCCGCTGAGGTCGGATGTTATGGCCACTTCAGACGTGTTTGCGTGGTGACCGCTGAGGTGGGAAACTCTGGAGAATTCAGACGAAATGTGTCACAAAAGCATGCTTAAGTGACGTAGCAATCAAGTCAGGTTGTCCTTTTGCTACTCCATGTTTTCCCTAGTGTGTCTGTGTTTTCAGGTCTGGTTCATTTTGCACGAGGTATTGACGTGCATTGGATCGTCATGGTTTCATTCTGTTTCGAACCATCCACATCTGTGACGCCATTTAGATCAGGTCTCTAACTCAAAGTCCACCTTCTGCCCAGGCCTCGACGCCGAACATGGCTCGATACAGGACACCGAGCGCGGCTGCGACGGTGTGTAGTGTCGTGATGTGCTGTGATGTGACGTGATGTGACGTGATGTGCCCGCGTCTGAGGCGCGATGGTCTGTTGCGCAGCGAACCCGTTCGGCTGGACGCCAAGCGGCGCGGTGGCCATGGCCAACCCCTTCCAGGCGCAGAACCCACCACCGCCATCTATCAACCAGATTCGGGACCGCAGGTTCGGTAAGTCACCGATGGAGGGCGCGGCGGAATGGCGGCGCCGGCGGCCTCGTCGTCGTGACATCCACGCCGCGTCGCAGCGGGCTCCGCGCCTAAGGCTGTGTGGGTGCGGTCTGCCCGCTGTCCCGATTGCCGGCGACTCGCCGCCTCGTGCTGCTCTGACTGACGTGTGCCTTGTGCCCTGTGACGTTTGACGTGTGCCCTGTGACGTGTGCCATATGACGTGAACCGTGTGACGTGCGTCCTGCGACGTGTGTCCTTTGACATTTGACGTGTGCCGTATGGCGTGCGGTGTGTGCCATGTGACGTGTGTTCTGTGACATGTGCCGTGTGCCTGTGACGTGTGCCGTGTGCCCTGTGACGTGTGGTGTGTGTCATGTGACGTGTGTCCTGTGACGTGTGACCTTTGCCCTGTGACGTGTGCCCTGTGACGTGTGCCTGTGACGTGTTCCGTGTCCTGTGACGTGTGCCGTGTGCCTGTGACGCGTTGTGTGTGCCATGTGACGTGTGCCGTGTGCCTGTGACGCGTTGTGTGTGCCATGTGACGTGTGCCGTGTGCCTGTGACGTGTAGTGTGTGCCATGTGACGTGTGCCTGTGACATGTGCCGTGTGCCTGTGACGTGTGCCCTGTGGTATGTGACGTGTGCCGTGTGCCATGTGCCGTGTGCCTGTGATATGTGCCGTGTGCCCTGTGACGTGTGCCGTGTGCCTGTGACGTGTGCCATGTGACGTGTGCCGTGTCGTGCCGACTGACGGTGTGTCCCGCTCTGACCCCGCCAGACTGAGGGAAAAGGTAACAGTCCGCGGCGGCCGGTCGGTCGATGGCTCGCACTATGGTACTGCTGGACAGTACGCACGCTTTCAGTGGCATGCACCCACCAGTACCAGCTCTGCACTTTGCACCCTGCGACATACACAATCAGTCGCACATGAGTGACCTTTCCAACCCACCCCCAAGGTTCACTTGTTTTCAAGCTATCTTTTTGTGCTATTTTTAATGTGTTTAGGTATATGATGTTACTGTGCATATTGCCTCTATATGCTGAATTGATGTACATAACGTGAATGCTGCACAGTTTTTTAAGAGCCTGTGCTAAATGTGAATATTGATCAAATGTTTGGTTTGTTGCATGCGTTTGTGGCATACGCTTGCTGATGGCATTAGCAATACACGGTTTAAACGTCTGATAGTCCCTGGAGCTTCAGTTAATGTGTTTAGTAACTGCGCACACACACCATTCGTATACGCAAGTTTCTCAGTAAGTTCCCGGGCATTGTATGCTCCTTGCAATGCCGTCATAGCTCAGAATGCATGCCCCAAATCGCGTTTTTTGTGTAGTCAGGGACGCAGCAATGTCGCGTAACGCCCGTAGGTATAGTTGGGGACCGCACGCTTGACGCTCCAGGTATTTTGCTTCGGATGTGTCACGTGTCATCCCTGTGCCCATGGGGGAGAGGGTGGGGGGGGAGGGGGGGGGAGGACGGATGGGACCGGCAGTGTGAACGCGGGCTGGGCAACAACTAACAAACGGCTGGAGGCGGTTAGCGTGGCACTGGGAGGTCGCGTTATAACGTCTTCATATTCTAATTGTTTTTTTAACCGAATGCTACCCGCAATCTTGTCAGGTAGAGGCGAGGGTTTGATTTTCCGATGCGCTAGGATGATGGTGCTTCGGTTGTGGTTGCGGAGCACGGGCAGCAGTCCTCTCGGCTCGTCGTCTAAGTGCATTACCACCAGGAAAATCTCATGGAATAAGCTTAAGAAAATATCCCAGGAACGTTACACAATTCCCTAGCGTAGCGTGCTTGACCTGTGTGTTTACCCGGGACCCTCGCCTCACCCCTCCGCCTGGTTTGCAGAGCCGGCCCAGTCGACCAACCCGTGGACGTCGCCCGCCAGCGCCGCCAACCCGTTCCTGTCGTAACTGCAGTGTGCGGCAGCGGCCGACAGGTGGCAGTGTAGGACAACGTTCGGAACCGTGCCTCAGACTCCCGTTGGGCCGCATGGCCTACTCGCACCAGCTATGTAAAGCCCGAGTCCTTTTGATTGTTTATGTGGTCGGTGTAGCAACGCATCTCTATGTTATCGAGTTAAAACTGTGGGGCGGCGGGCGGGCGCCGCGCTGTAGTTCTGTTTATACTCCGCGTGGGATGCGCCAGGCCGCCTGCGATTGGTCGGCCGGCCTGTCAGCCGCCTGCAGTGAGGGACGAGTGAGCGAGCCGCGGCCGCGCGACGCCGGCGCGCTCGCGACCGCGCGCTGGCGTCAGCCTTACGTGGCCGCGGGACGGGAGCCAGCGCCGCCGCCCGGCCCGCCCTCCTCTGTCGGCGGCGCTGGCGGCGCGCCTGCAGCTCGGCGTGGCACGTGGCCCCCCGCGGCGGCCAGCTGGCGGTCCGCTGCGCCACGGCACGGCGACGATAATCATATATTGTGGGGACCGTGTGAGTGCGTCAGAAACAGGTATCGTAGCGCCGCGGCGGCCGCCGCGCGCATCATTAGTTGACCCGCTGGCCGCTGGGGGTCGGGGACGCCCGCCCGGCGGCGGCGGTGGTCGGGTTTCGCGGTGCTGGCCGGAAGCGGGACCGGACGGCGATCGGCGGCGGCGACGTTCGGCAGCTGGTCACAACTCAGGGCGAGGCCCGCCGCCAGCAGCAGAGGCGACCGAGAGCCAGCCGCCCGCCGCCCGGGCAGTACCGCGGTCTCGCCGGCCCGCCGCCTGGAGCGCCTCCCAGCACGCCTAGAGACCTCGCGCCGGACCGGCGACGTGTGATGTGCTCCCCTCGACGGCCGTCACACAGCAGCGGCCGGCGCCGGCACAGCCAGCGACTAACGAACGTGGCCCGCGCGGTGCCGCCGAGCTAGTATTTATTCAGAGCGTGTCTGGACCGCCGGGCCGGCCGTGCCGCTCCCCGCCCTGCCTACCGCTAATACAGGCTATTTTTATGCGGAGGACGCTGTGTTTGGTGGTGGCGACGTTTGGAGACGTCCCATGAGGTGGAGGTGTGAGGCGGCGGAGCGCGCCGCGTGCTGGACTGTCGGTGGGAACCAGCCAGATGCGGGAGGCGAGTGTTGAGGATGGGCCGGTCAGTCCGCGTAACAGGCTTTGTGAGAGCGCCAGGACGTTTGCAGGGCTTTAACCGGTGGTTTACGCTTCAGGGAGCATGACTTAAGATGCCAACTTTTCCACTTGACGCTTAACGCGTGCTGTTGCCGTCAACGCATGGACTCCACTGCAACAGCGCGGATACTCGCAGCGATGGCAAGGCGTCTTATTTCCTTGGAAAACGGGTGCTGGGAAGCGTGCCGTTCAGCTGGGACTAGGCTGCCGCGTTCATGCGCTCATTCGTTCCGTCCTCGCATGAGCGCTAAGAAGCCTGCCGCACGGCTCGGCTTGGTCTGCCGTGTTGATGCGTGTGGCTCCTCGCCACTCTGTCTGGTGAGCGCGGGAGCCCTCCCCCCGAAGGCGATACTTGTTTGGTTTCGCTCTTTCCGCTGTGCCGCGCCGGTGTCCACCCACTCCCAGTAGGTTTGCGCTCAAATTTGATTTTCTTTGAAGCTTAATTCAAATTTAACTCAAATATTCACGCGTCAAGTGTATTCACTCAAAACGCGTGAATACCTTTGCCCTCACAGCACTTTTTTGAAATTTTGTGACACGCGCGACGGGTTACGCTGCGACCTTCAATACCGCGGCGCTTTGTCACCATTCACAGCCGTCAGTTCCACAGGACCATTTTCCAAGAAGCCTTGTATTCGTCGCGAAACTGTTACCAACAGCGTACAACAGGTGAGAAAATACATCTCTTACAATACAACGTATAAAGACACATCGCAGTGACAAACTGGAAAAATACTCTGGTGTCGCCTCCACTACAGTCTATTGCTCACGGCGGCAGATTGGCGGCAGCATGTGCACACGCCAGCCTAGAGTCGTGGCATCGGCACTGGCTCTCGCTCTATACACGGCTGCGATGGCCCAGTCAACCATAGCGTGTATTGGACACTGGGCCGGCTCTTGTCCAGTTGCGGATCCAATTGGGATCACGGTCGGATGAGTAGGGGATGGGGGAGGGGGCAGGGGGAGGCGGCGACAAACATGCCGACTCTGCTGATGGAAAAGCCTCCAACAGCGACGACAGACTGCATGTGAAAGACCAGCGTTGCAACACGGAAGACGAACGGGAGAAGTGCGTTGGAAGCCATTTCCCTATTTCATATTATCACGACCAGCTCACCACACACCGCCGGTGGTCTCAAACACGTCCCGGCGCCTGGCGACCCGGGCCCGCCTTGGTGCCGCCTGGGCCTCCGCAGGGCCTCGGTGGCCGCTGCGGGCAGCTCGGTGCCACCTGGGCCTCCCCAGGGCCCTGACTGCAGGCCGGCGGCGGCCGCCTGGGCCTCCCCAGGGCCTCGGTGGCCACTGTGGGGCAGCTCGGTGCCACTTGGGCCTCCCCATGGCCCTGGCTGCAGGCCGGCGGCGGCCGCCTGGGCCTCCCCAGGGCCCTGGCTGCGGGCCGGCGGCGGCCGCCTGGGCCTCCCCAGGGCGCCCATGTCCGCTGCGGACTGGCAGCGGCCGGCTCAGGGCTGCGTATCGACCACCAGCCGGCCGTCGGCGTCCTTGATGCGGATGCGGCCGCTCGGGTAGCGCGTCTCCTGGCGTCCGTCCGGGTACAGGAACTTCACCGTGCCGTCCGGACACACCAGCTTCTTGTAGCGCTCCGTATGCACCTCCAGCTTGCCTGAGGCGCGCCGGCGGGCGGGCGGGCGGGTCAGGTCCAAGGTCAGGAACGGCGTAGCGAGTACCCACGGCGCACAGACACACCTCGCCGAGGGTGTGTTGCAAGCCTGCTAGACATTCTGTACGGCCGCGTAGCCGAGCCGCCCGGAAGATTGAACGCCCCCGTAACCATCCGGTGTGAAGCGCGCCACCCGACCGCTCGTTCACGTGTATCGCGACAGGTCACAGCCTCCATACACCGCTTCCAGTTTCTGATGCGCCATACCCATCGGGCTCCAAACACTACCATCGCTAAAATGTGTAGGCCCTTCGCACGGCATAACTTTAATAAACGCCGTACAAAGGGCCGTCGATGATAATATGACACGCTAATGAGGGCCGTTAGGGCCGGGGGGGGGGGCGACAAATGTCACTGGTGTTCCCAAAGCACGGCTGCGGCCCGGCGGCGAGACGCCGCCTGAGTGCACTCACCGCTGGGCAGCAGGATCTCGCGGCTGCCGTCGCGCAGGTGGCGCCGCCTGGTGCCGTCCCGGTACACCGTCTGCTCCTCGCCGCCAGGCGTCAGCACCGTCACGGCGCCGCACGGGTACCTGCGCGCGCACCGCCCCCGTCGGCCGTCAGCCGGGCCGGCCGTTCTCGCGGCGTGATCATGACACGGTGAGCCCGGCACAGGCTTCATGGAAAAACACTAGACACCCAGGACGCGCCGTTTATCCGGAAAACCTAACCCCTCGGCTGTTCGGACTGATTGCGACGTGTTAGCGCCAGGGCTGGCGCGAGCACGGCGACGCGCTGGTGCTGATGCGTGCCGCGCTCGGGTCACAACCGTCTGCGGCCTGAGCTGGAGTCGCCGGTGCTGACCGTGCCCTGACCTCAGCTGGAGCCGGCGGTGCTGACCGTGCCCTGACCTCGGTTGGAGCCGGCGGTGCCGACCGTGCCCTGACCTCAGCTGGAGCCGGCGGTGCTGACCGTGCCCTGACCTCAGCTGGAGCCGGCGGTGCTGGACCGTGCCCTGACCTCAGCTGGAGCCGGCGGTGCTGACCGTGCCCTGACCTCAGCTGGAGCCGGCGGTGCTGACCGTGCTCTGACCTCAGCTGGAGCCGGCGGTGCTGACCGTGCCCTGACCTCAGCTGGAGCCGGCGGTGCTGACCGTGCCCTGACCTCAGCTGGAGCCGGCGGTGCCGACCGTGACCTGACCTGATCTCTGTAGTGCCGTCCGGGTCGCGGTGCTCGATCTGCCCGCTGCTGAACTCGACCAGCTCGGCGCCGCTGCGGTACGTGGTGTGGCGGGTGCCACTCTCCGCGTAGAAGTACACCGTGTCGCCCTGCCGGCAGGCAGCGCCACCGGCGTCAAGGCCCGCCGCCAGACCGCGGGGCGCCCGCTGAGCGCCCGGCACGCTCCTGACCGAGCCGCGGGGCGGCGCTGGGGCCGATCGCAGCGAACCGAGGGCGTGCGATGGTGGCTGTTACGTGCGCCTTCGCGTTGGTCGAGTGGGCGGGGTGTGATCGCATGGCGTGGGGTGCGTGCACCAGTCTGGGATCGGGGCACACATACCATATCCAGCGCCAGACCACGGCCAAAGCAGCCGCTGTCGAAACGACCTCCGACATCGTGCACTGCATCCAAGTCCGGGCATGGAACTACAGCGTCCTTCACAAGTAGCATCAGAGCATAAACCGCCCGACTGGTGGGTTGACCAGATGTTAGCGACGAACGGGCAGCACAACCCGCATCACAGCTGAAGTAAGATACGGCCGTCGGGTAGCCGGAGCCAGCAGCCGGGATAGACCCACCGCCGGCGCTGCTCACCTGCGGCCCGACCTCCTTCCAGTCTCCGTTGTGGTAGCAGATGCGCACGGTGCCGTCCGAGAGCGTGTCGCGCCGCCCCATCGGCGTCTGCAGGGAGCCGGCCAGCGCCGCCTGCACGGGGCCGCTGTCGGCGGCGGCGGCGGCAGAGGCGCGGCCCGAGGCGGCCCACGTGCGCACCATCTCTGCCGTCCGGCTGGGCTGCTCCTGGTGCCGCTGCGGCGCGCCGCCGCCGCCGCCCCCGGAGTTCCAGGAGAGAGCCGAGTTAGTGGGCGTGCCGCCGGCACTGGTCGGCGAGGACCAGGAGAGGGGCGAGTCGGCGGCGGGCGCCACCACGCCATCCCTGACCCCGGCCGCCAGTGGCGCCGGCTGCGGTGGCGTCGGCTGGGCCCTCGTGCTGAGCGAAGGCAGCAGCGGCGGCGGCGGCGGCGGCGCCGGCTCGGTGGCAGCCCCGGCCGGAGCGCGGCAGGCGCCGGCCGGACCCCACGCCGGAGGAGGGCGGCGCGTCGTCCCGGGCCGGAGCGTCCGCAGGTGCTCGCGGACTCTCCTCCTGTCGGCGGCCGGCCGGCGCGTCCGGTGTCTCCTGCTCGCGGCAGTCCAGCGCGTCCAGCATCTCCTCACTGTCCTGCGGCGACGGCTCCTTGCCCGTTTCCTTGCTGCCGGCCGTGCGCACCGGCGGCGGCAGGTTCTCCAGGCTGGCCAGAGGGCTGTTGCGCACCACGCGCACCTGCGGCATCGCGACGAGTGGACGGCATCGCTGCCGCAATGACGTCACCAACGGCAGCCTCACCAGCCCTTCCCGAAGCTGGCTGATGGTTGTATCGCTTACCAGCCTACTGCTTCTAATACTGCTAGATCACAGGGCTCAAGCGTTTAATAGACGATCTTCTAAAAACTCATTCCACCCGGAAAACTTAACTGAAAGTGGAACTGAAAGCCTCATTCCGCACGTGTCGCCAGCTTTCCGTGATTTACGTGTGATTCCCTTCCTAACCGCACAGATCTCCGCGTCGAATCAGCCCGCCACCATATGTCGCGTATTTTCGGACCCGCGGGCCGCGCGGCTGAGGCGCGGCTCCCGCTGGGCACACGCCAGGTCAACAACTAAGAAGTAATGACACTGAGGCCTACGTCACATCGAGGCTTCCCTAGCTACTTCACGTGCAGCACAACACTCTACCCTAGGAAATGGCTGCTCCCACAGGCGTCATACCGTAAGGACTTCCTTGACAATGTCCCGCATGAGTTTCAGTCGCAACGCGTATCTAAATTCGCCGTGCATGAATAAATGGAACGTCTGTGCTATGCTGTCATAAGCTGCAGAAGGTTAAACGAAACAGAAATCCTAGCACATAGTTGTACGCATAGATGGCACAGAACGTAACTTTACCTACCAAACTTTCTTCTAACCGCTCTACGGCACCCCAATCCTGTTACGTTCGTCATTCAAACATTCGTCCGTAGGTTTGAAAATATCACTTCGGAGACTGACACATCCTGACAAGCGACACACAATCCGGATCACCCTGGCCAACACACAATCTAGACCATCCTTGCCGACACATAATCTCGCCCCTCCTAATACAAACACACACTGCCTACAACGCAATGACTAAATGTGCCCACATACTCAACGTCAGAGAATGCGGTGCATTCGTCAAAGCGGCATATTTACAGCATTTACCGTACATAAGCGTCCGACCCTAACGAGCCCCTCGCCGTGTTCGGCACACCCGCTCCCCCTCCGGAGCACACACCTGGGGCGGCTGGCGGCGCGGCGGCGCCGACACGGGCTCGGCGCGGCCGCGGCCGCCGCCGGCGCCGGCCAGCAGCAGGCGAACGTCGGCGGGCGTCGGCGAGCCGCCGGCCGAGCGGCGACCCTCTAGCGACCTGCCGGAGTCGGAGACGCGCCAGAGTGAGCCGGGGTGCGGGGACGGCGGCGGCGGCCGGGTCACGGCGGGCACACTAGGCTGGCGGAGGCGCAGTGACGGTCCGCAGGTCACCCCGTCTCTGGCAGCGGGACGGCTGTTACACTGACACACGCATGTCGGAAGGGCCAGGGAGAGCTCACTGAGTGATATGGCAGGGAAAAGGCATTCAAGAACTGTTCTTGATTGAAACAAAAGGGCGGAACAATTGATTGCCGAGAGGCTTGTCCGTGCGGAACACGTTAAATGCACACATTGAACCGCGTCGATGCCGCACGACGAGAGCGGGACACAAAATAATCCCAGCGCGCCCTAAAACCCCCGACCAGTCTTAGCCACGCTCCGAGTCTGGCCAGTTACAACAGCTGACGAACGGCTCTGCATTCCACCAGTGCATCCTGGACAGGTCATCGCGGGGGTGTTCCACGGCTCCGAGGAATGTGCTCCAACGCAGCTAATAAGGGAGTTACAACGTTGTGTCGCAACCGACGACCAGCACTATCCGCGCTGCAGCGGCGGTTTTGCCTGTTTGGATAAGAGCACTTTCGACCAGAAATGTTAACTTCAAGGTCATAGAATGAAGGAAAATGGTTAAAGGCGAGGCAGACCTATTTAAGCCTGGGGGGACAACTGCCGAGCTTTAACCCGCGCGCGTGCGCTGGGTACCCGACCGGGGTCCCCCTTCCCAAGGGGTTGTCGGCCCACTCGTGGCCGACACATGCAGACTGCCTCGGACAAGCGGTGCATGGCGAGGACGCAGGATGAAGCAGAATACAGAATAAGAAAGACGAATGCAGCGGCGGGAACGCGCGCAAGCCAATTGGTTAGCGTGACAGCAATGGTCGCGGCAACAGCCAAAGTAATGCCACCATTATTTTGTCGACATAATCAGATAGTGAGAAGTGCAGCATAGAAGTTGGGCCATGGTTTCTTCACCATAAAAACATAAACTGAACATGCCTCCTGGAGCCGACAACGGAGCTTTTCTTCGAGCCGGTTTGGTCCTGCAGGCTGGTGCGACTGGAGCGACCTCCGAAGGTGGAGACCGAAGTCGAGCTTCCTCCGCCGTCCGCCAGATCGGGAGCCGAGCGATGGCGGGAGAGAGCCGGCTTTCGGCGCGCCGCGGACCGCTCCGGGACGTTCGACCTGAACAGAGACAAGGCTGTCCCTGTCGCCGGTGTCTTTGAACGCACAGCGGAGTGTGTGGCGCGGTGAGACGTACATCACACAAACGCGACGCTACCAGCTGGCCAATGGAGAACGCCGGTGCCCCACACCCATTATTCCCATGGAGCTACACGAGCGTGACGCGTCATATCGAGGTTACTGGCAGCCGATATCCCTTTGCTGCGACCACCCTGGCATTACACGACCCTGCGCGTACGCCACTGGCTCAACCACCCATCTTCCAGGGCCTCTATAATGCACAGTCGGGGCACCTGCAAAACCCTGAAACTACTACTACCAATAGTTGCCACTACTACTATTTCTACCTCCAGCGCCGTTCTGCGTCCCGACAGTCCAGACCGCTGCCAACAGAGCCCCCTCCCCTTCCAGCCGAGCGGCGCTGACGCACCCTTGCCCAGCGGCGGCACCGCTGAACTGTCTGGCGTTGCGCCGGGCCAGCTGCTGCTGCGCCTGCTGCAGCAGGCCGGTCAGCCGGTCACGCTCCTGGCTCAGCTGGGCCAGGCGCGAGCGCATGCGCGTCGTCTCCTGCGCCCACGAGCCGTCGCGCCGCTTCTGCTCCGCCTCCAGCTCCGACACCTGCCGCCGCCACATCCGCGCGTTGTCAGGGAAAGCCCGCTGAGGTGGTCGCCAGCCGTTGTCCAAGGTTCCAGCTCCCTACCACTACGATGACCATATTAATATAAGGAAGCACACCGGGGATATGAAGCAGGTGGGTCTCTCAGTCAGTCTCCAAGGTCAGAACACGGTCCTAATCATTCAGCGATATCACGGTCAGAGGCCCGGCCCTTCGGACGGGGGATAGGTCAACAGCTGAGGAAGAAGCGCGCGCCTAGTAAAGGGCGGGATACGTCGGTTTGGAGCAAGTGCGGAGGTCGGGTCATCTGGTCATGGTTCCACATAGCAAGGAATGCTTCATTCGGAGACGGGCGGTTTGATGGAACCACGGACATGTTGTGAGCCGACTCGAACGAACAATTAAGGCAATGCGAACTAACGCTTGTTACAGACGTTTACGTCCTCCTTCGGGGCAAATCATTTCCAACAGGTCGTGTTTAAACCCACGTGAGGGACGACCATACATACAGCGTGGGGAACCCGACGAAACCCCAGAAAGGACACCCGACCTCACCTTGGCCGTGAGCACCTTGATCTGCGGCGTCTCCTTCTGCTTCCACTGTTCGGCAAACAGCTTCTTCTCGCGGTCCAGGGCGGCGCGCTCCTCCGCCAGCTGGCGGCGCTCCTGCTCCAGGCGGCGGCTCTGCTTGTCGCGCTCCTGCCGGGTCCAGCGCTCCCACTCCTCCCGCTGCTGCTCCATCAGCGCCTTCTGCTGCCGCACCTCTTCGCGCAGCTGGCCGATCAGAGCGTTCTCGCTGCGGAAGGTGGCCAGCTCGCGGTCGAGCAGCGCCTTCTGCCGCTCCAGCGCCGCGCGGTCGAAGATGAACGGCTCGGGTGGAGCGCTGGCGCCGCCGCCGCCCCGTCGCCGCTCAGGGGGACTGCTCTCAATGTACGCGGACGCCGGCGCGCGCGGCGGACTCGCTGCTGAGGTGGCGGCGGAGCTGAAGCCGGTGCTGGCGAGGGCACTGGCGGCGGAGCTGGCGGCGGAGCTGGCGGCGGAGCTGGCGGCGGGGCTGGGGCCGGGGCTGGGGCCGGGGCTCGGCCATGACGGCTCCCAGGCGGAGCTGTCGTCGCGCGCGCCCGGCTCCGGCGTCAGCGTGGCCTCGTCGGCCGCGGAGTCGGCCGTGATCTCGAACACATCTGGCCGGTCGTCGAAGCGCACCGAGCGGCGTCCGGCCGACGGCGCCGGCGACGCCGCCCGGCCGAGCTGGCGCTGTTCCACCTCGTGCCGCTCCAACCCACTCTGACCAAGGTCACGCTGTTCTAACTCACTCTGCCCCAACTCACTTCGGCCCAGCTCGTGCTGTTCCAACTCACTCTGCCCCAGCTCGTGCTGCTCCAGCTCGTACTGCTCGAGCTCGCGCCGCATCTGGTCGCGCAGCCGGCGGTACCGCTCCAGCCGGTCGGCCGGCGCCACCTCCGAGTCGGACGAGACCGCCGACAGGTCAGACGAGCGCGCACCGAGGCCGCCGGCAGGGACCGCTGCTGCACGGAGCGGCGGGGAGTGACGCACTTCTGAACGGGTGCTGCCGGGTATTGCTGGTGGCGGTGCGGTACGCCTCGTGATTTCCGATGCGGTCGGAAAAGACTGCCAATCAGACCTCGAAGGGCCCGCCGTTATCACTGTGGACGTCCAATCACGTTTCCCTGCAGCCGACGTCACTATCTTCGGCGGCCAATCGCTGCTCCCGACGGCAGTCGTCACCGCTGTGGACGTCCAATCACGTTTCCCCGCGGCCGACGTCACCGTAACTGGCGACCAATCACTGCCCCCGGCGGCTGACGTCACCGCAGGCTGCGACCTATGAGAAACGGCGGTGGCGGCGGCAGTCGGCGTTGGCCGTCCGCCGACGGCGTGCTGGGCCGGCTCGGCAGGCCTGGCCAGCGGGGAGAGCTCCACCGGACCGGTGCCGGGCCGCCGCTCGGGTGTCGAACTTGCTGCGTGCAGCAGATTGCTGACGAACGACGAGTTGGAGCAGAAGCTGGAGTCCTCCGCCGCCTGCTCCAGCAGCTCGAACGCCTTCAGCTCCTTCAGCTCCTTCTGCGATCATTACAAGAAGAGTGGTTAGGACAACACACATCACAGTACACCACCGTCCATAAAAAACATTGGGTGGTAGTATTCTAGCCCAAGTTACGCCAGGTTAGTATTGGCCACACATGCTCTGGGGGGCTAAGCTGGAGCCCTGCAGGCATATAGCGATTTCTCTAAAAATAACTATGGACTGTTCGTTACGCTCCAAACCCCACGTACAAACGAAGCGGAACACCTCACCTTTCCCTGCGGCGTCCCTGCTTCCGGGGCAGTTTCCGTGCCCGCCAGCGTCAGCTGGCTTCCCGACTGCCGGCTGACCTTGTCCAAGGTCAGCGCGGTGCCCGCCAGGCGGCCACGAGCGCGTCCGATGCTGGGGAAGCAGAGCCGGGCCGGGGGCGGCTCGGAGGGCGAGCCGGCGTCGGCCGCCAGCCGGTGACGCAGGCTGAGGCCGGGAACCGGCGGCGCCGGCCGCAGCTCCTCCACGCCCACCGACCAGGCGCCGCCCGCGCCGGCGGCAGCGGCGGCGGCGCGTCCGCCCGCCGCCCCCGCTACCCTGACGTCTCCCAGACTGGCGAGCGTGTCCGCCGGGTCCAGCAGTCGGCCGGGGGCGGGGCCGGGGGCGGCGCTGGCGGCCGGCGCGCCGCCGCCGCCGCGCCGCGGCAGGCCGCGCAGCCGCGGCCCGGGCCGGGAGGGGCCGGCGCCGCGCGGTGCCGAGGTCAGCACGACACGGCCGGCGCCGGCGCCGCGGCCGCGACCACGGCCCCCGCCCCGGCGTCAGGCGCATCAGCTGCCCCGGCCGCAGCCGGTACCGCTGCAGGCCGGCGCCGCGCTTCAGAAACGGCCGGCGCGGCGCGGCGGCATCGGCGGCGGCGGCGGCGGACGGCGACGGCTGGCGCTGCAGCTCCCGCTCCAGCAGCGTCTCGAACCGGACCGGCCGCAGCGGGCTGTTCTCGTGGTCGGCGGCGGCCGGGCGCGCGCCGGCCGCCGGCGCGGGCGCCGAGCCGTGCACTTCGGTCCGCTGAGGGCGCGGGACGACAGGCACTGTGGTGATGCCGAAGCGCGGGGACGTCTCGCTACATACGCGACGCACTTCACGAAAGCAACTCACAAACGTAACGTGTTCAGCTGCTTGTGTGGGACACGGGAGCTACAATTAGCAAGTTGCTGACGCATTAATACCTGACAACAGTTATGAATGAATGGGTTTGCTATACACAACACATGGGCAATAAATGGAAGTGTCACATAAGTGCCCCAGGAAGTGTGCACTCAAATAACCAAATCGAATTAAATAATGGAACAAATATTGTGCACAGAGTGAGGCACAATAATCAATCCGCCTCGGCATAAAACAGATCACACCCATGACCTTCACCTACCCGACGTTGCATGTCCGCCTCCCGATGATGTTGCGTGCCTGAGTCGCGATTCTCGCGGTCACCAGTGTCGCCTGACGGCCGGCTGGGCGATGATTGGTTGCTGCGCTGCTCATTAGATGGCAGTGCTATCGGAGAGCGGTCACCGCCCGTTGCTGAGACGTCCAGCAGCCGTGCCAGTTCCGCCTGCAGTCAACCATGAATGAGGTACAGTCTACTCATCAAATATATTTTCAATACCCATCATTGTACATCTTTATGCTCATAGGACAGAACAGCTTTGGCTATTTTAACACAATGAGCCAACAATGTGAATTTTGGTAAGATTCATCACTGAACTATTGGCTGATTAGATTTTTGTTGTTGAAATATTGGCTACTATGTGATTTTGTGTGCATTGGTCACAAATCAGGCAAAACTCTGCCCTGGTTGGGACCCATATGGCTGCATTCACCCCTCCCCCCCCCCCCACAAAAACACTGGGGATTCATCTGCACACCAGTCCTCAGGACACAGCTATCCCTGCACCATCACTGACAACCTGTGATGGTACAGAAGGATGATCCTACCCCATACTTCATCTCTGCCATGTATGTGGCAGAGAATTCACATCCATGGATCAGATGGTCTGGGTCAACTGTGGTCTGAGAGTGGGAGGGGCTGGTCCAGAATCTGTACTGCACAACTATCATTAGGAAGCTGATGACTTGGTAACACAATAAGCACGCAATAGGCAGTGATACATACCTAATCCTTTTATGAGATGTAACATTCAAAGATAAAATAAATATCTAAAATTTGTATGCTTAGGCTATCATGATACCATAATTCTCCCAATGTGTTTTTAACCACTTAAGGCAGAGGCAATCTGTAAAAATCCATCACCTGCACTGACCACCTTTGCACTATCCATGCATGGACATAGTGCTCACATGTGTGGAACTCTGACCAGGCCAAATTGCACTGAATTTTCAAAACTATTTTGTGTAAAAAATGTTTATGCACATTTTGCCTGAAATCACTTAAGAAACATAACTACCAAAACATTGCCCTTATGCCATTTGTGCCCAACTTTCACACACTCATTTTGACCATATTCTTCAAATTTAATTCTCCTAGACTCCAAATGAACACTGTGTATGTTGTTCAGTGCATTTGCAAGGAATTCACATAGATGAGACAGCAGGAATAGCCTTATTCCTAAGACAAAAACCAGAAGGATGGATGCTTGTATGTCCTGATATTTTGGCAACATGCCTTTATCAAAATAACAGCAAAAGTGAATATTCACTTCTGCAGTCAAAATAATAGCAGAAAAAGAACACTCACTTTCCCTATTGTTTCAATAGAGGCATGTTGCCGAAACATCAACACATTCTCCATTCTCCTAGTTTGTCTCTGAGGAACACAGCTATTACTACTGTCTTATCTAAGGCACAACTTGGATGTGACAAGAGGACACCAATGGAAGTGCAGAAAACCTCAAGCTAGGACTCCCGTCCGTCGTAACTCTTTCAGCACGCGGGTTGTCAACAATTGGAACGCTCTTCCGTACCCAGTTGTCGTCAACCTCAGTTGACCAGTTTAAGTCTAGGCTTGATATGCACTGAGCTGAAAATATGTATGACGTCCCCCACTAAGTCTATCCATAATTTGAGACTGTTCGGTTGCTCGACTGGGAGTCTGACAAGACCGGGACCTACAGACCTAGTGGCCTTTTATAACTCCCGATCACCATGAGGCCAAGGCTTATCTATGCCAATGAACACTTGCAAGCTAGGACAGCATGGTACCGGCCACATACCACAACAGGTATGATGGTTAGAAAATAATTTATAACCTCGAAAAACTATACCTGTTTCTGTGAAATTATTTGATAGCTCTGCTCCTGTTGTTGCAACAAACGTGCCCGCTGCTGCTCTTGCCATGCCCGCAGCTGGCCCACTCCAACGCTGAGCCGTCTGAGAGGAGAGCCACTGTAGCTGCTGTCCAGGTTATTGCTGGTATCAGCCTCTGCCGACAAATCCCCCATTGGCGAAGCTATTTCATAGGTGATTGGGTAATTCGGATCTCAATTTTCCATGCAGGACCCACACTCCGAAATCAATGCGCGATTCTTATGAAGGGAAAACTTGATAGTTCTTTAGAAAAAAGCCGCCAGGTGCAGCGGAAGGTATTTCTAGGAACGTCCCAGAGCTCATTAAGTGAGCCAAACAGCTCAACTTTCCTGAAAAGTTGGGAAAGCCAAACGGTAGTTCGAATCCCGGGCAGCCTCGGATTTCCGTAAATTTATTTTCTGCCGCAGTCAACTCGATTTAGCGCGCAAGTCGCAAATATCAAGAAATATCAGTAATCTCTTGCTATCGGTAAATATTAAAGTAGACGTTAAAAGACAGAAATTTGCAGTGCAACTATCAAATATAACTAAAAAAGAGCCTAAAAATTATAAAAGTGATAACCATGCATCCATATGCCCCAAGTGTTAAGCACTTAAATACATTTGTGGTGCGGCACATTTGGGACCATTGCTTGTTATGGGATCGCTCATGCAACAACGTAACAGCTGGTGGGAGGGTGATGTAAGTAACACGTAAAGGCCGTCACAGATACCGAGGCGCGTATTGCACCATATGGCGGTGAAGCTTTTTGGACTTTATGATAAGCTGGCTCCCCCCCATCTTCTGCTACAAAAGCGCGCCGTGCCACAGTTCGTTGCCGTCTTCACCGGGCTTTGTTACGCGCCGCGATTGGAAGCTGCAGCGCTAGTTTAGTTATTGTGACTGTTATGTTCCAGACCAAAGGAAACTTCGCGCGAAAATTACTGTGCGCGATACGTGCAAATTTACCTGTGCGACAACCAAACACCTGAAGTTTTTGAAACTGGAATGGCAGAGCCAAGAGTAATAGAAAGTGTCCAGGGAACAAGCTCAGCAATAATGCACCCTGAAGCAAGCAACTCACTGGAGGAAGGCCTCACATCAGAGGAACAAATGGAGGAAGAGAAGTTTGCTATTCTCAGCAACAAGGTGAGATTCAGCACATGTCACCACCTGTCCTGCTTCCTTAACGTGAATTGTACAGCCCAAGCTCGGATTGTTAAAGTCGGGACTGCTGCAGTAGTAATTCTGTCACAGCTGGCCTGGAAGTGACTGGCAAAAATGTTAATGGTACAATCAAACAATCACAAACTGAACAACATTTTTACTTAAAGTGAAATTGTGTTTAGAGCAGTCTTCCATATATGAGATCAAACCAATAGTCATAAGCAAGCTTATTTAATTTATCTGATGCTTATATTGATGTCTTCACATGCTCAATATTTCCTTTTAACATGAATTGCTTCCATTAGTTGCATCAATCTTTATTAGTGCCAGGGGTGGAGCTTATGGTTGCTGGCTGGCTTTGGCCCCACTGACTCAGACAAAAAAGTTGGACTAGGTTTAGCTATTTCCCTGCTCAGCATTCCAAACTATGTTGGAAGACTATCCCCAAGGAACACTTATTGAGCTTTGTAGGGCAATGCAAACACCATTCTCAGGTGAGGTTCTAGTTCTTGCTCCTTTTTTAGCATCACCCCAGACTAGATGTCAGTTCTTGCTAGATCTTAGCTTAATCCTAGATCTCAGATGTTTCTGGGTTCTTATAAGATCTCTGCAGGTTTTAGGCTGGATCTTGGTTCTTGCCAGATACTGGTTCTTGCTAAGTTTCAGTGTAACATGAGCATGGGTCCTAGTTTCTACTGGGTCTTTTGGCTGGATATGAGACTGGATCTGGCTCCACCTGGTTCCCTTGGCCCACTGTGAGTGTGGTTCCTGGGTTTTTCCTAGCTCTGGAACCACCTGGAAATAAATTTCAGGAACCAGGTACATGTTTAGACTGATATGGATCTCAGTATCATCTGGGTAACCACCCATATTCTGTGCATACTTTATGACAGCCATGGCTGAGTTAAGGCAGGTTCTAGTTAAGGTGCAAATATTGTTTGCTCACATTGACAACTGCATACTTTATCTGTCATTCCAGATAGTGGAAAGGACATCCACCAAAATTGTATTTGTGGATACCTGCTGTTAGTATGTAGAACATAAACAGGTTGAATCAGTATGGCTTCACATTGGGATCAGTCTGGGATCTGAGACACTAGTCATAGGAAGAGAAGCTTTGAAGTTGGCAATTCTGTACTACATGTGCATTGGGGTGGGGCATCTGTGTGGGGGGGGGGGGGGGGCATGGTCAGAGGCCTTGAAACTGACAATTTTGTAGTACAGGTACTTTGGGAGTGGGGTATGTGTGTGGGGAGGGGGGGGGGGCATGGTCACAGTTATCACCAGCTTAAAAGTGCCAGAAGTGTAAGCTAGGAACATCTATGAAAGACTAAAAAGGCTTGAGTGACAATGTGTATAGAGTCAGCTCATCAGTTCTGAGCAGTCAAATACTGCAACAGTCTGTAGATATGGCACCAGCAACAACAGTCAACCAATTCCTTGTTTGATGCTCACTTAGTCAATCTGTTAGATTATGTCAAAAACAGAGCCTCAAGGCCTGATTGGCATGCTCAGACTTAAAGTACCAGGTACTGAAAGAAGGATGAGGCTTTACTACTGTTCTGTTGAGCAGGCATGCTGTGAGATGAGACTTTACTACTGTTCTGTTGAGCAGGCATGCTGTGAGTTGGTCAGTGTTCTCATCACATCAGCATGCCACTGTGCCACCCATCATGGTGCCCAGGCTGAGGTCACCATAATTCAAAAGAGGTTGCTAGCTTCAAGGCATGGACTGGTTCTGCATCCTTGTCAGCTGATATATGAGATGCCCTTGAAAGATTATGTGGCAGTACTTATCCCACATGCTGCACTGGGGATTGATATCCTCTGACTCATCAAACTGGACCATGACCCAGACAGCCTGTTTGTTGTTGTGCTGTGTGCCTGTCATGATGTGATGATTTGGTGAAGTCTGGTGCTGACCTGTGGGGTCTGGTGTGTGGTCTGATGCTGACCTGTGAGGTATGGTCTGGGGTCTGATGCTGACCTGTAAGGTCTGGTCTGAGGTCTGATGCTGACCTGTAAGGTCTGGCCTGTGGTCAGTGCTGATCTGAAATGTCTGGTCTAAGGTATGATGCTGATCAGTGAGATTTAGTCTGAGATCTGATGCTGACCTGTAAGGTCTGTTCTAAGGTCTAATGCTGATCTGAAATGTCTGAGGTCTGATGCTGGCCTGTGAGGTGTGGTCTGAGGCCTGATGCTGATCTGTGAGATTGATAAAGGTCTGATGCTGACCTGTGAGGTGTGGTCTGAGGTCTGATGCTGACCTGTGAGGTGTGGTCTGAGGTCTGATGCTGACCTGTAAGGTCTGGTCTGAGGTCTGGTCCTGATCTGAAATATCTGGTCTGAGGTCTGATGCTGGCCTGTGAGATGTGGTCTGAGGTCTGATACTGACCTGTGAGGTGTGGTCTGAGGTCTGATGCTGACCTGTGAGGTGTGGTCTGAGGTCTGATGCTGACCTGTGAGATGTGGTCTGAGGTCTGATGCTGACCTGTGAGGTGTGGTCTGAGGTCTGATGCTGACCTGTGAGGTGTGGTCTGAGGTCTGAGCGACTCTCTGGTCTGCCACAGACGATACTGGTCAGCCCCAGCACGGACCAGTTCGACCTGCTGCGCTCTCGGCTGGCGACACGCACCGAGGAGGGGCAGGGCGAGACAATCTATGAGGTCGGAGTGGCAGAAGGTGGGACAATACTTCATGACTCGCGCATGGGCTGACACTGAGGCAGTGGTTAAAATGGGACTGGCTGAATCTGGCCTTGTCCTGTGCATTGTGCCAGCTGACCAATGGCCCCTTGTTAAGGTAGCTCGTACTTAGCGTTTGGAAATGCCATGGCGATTTGGATGCACTGAATCCTTATCTTGTAATTGCACGTTCTTTGGAGGTCACGTAGTCATCGTCATGTCATGTAGTTTCCTCACCATGCATTTCTGAGCTTGCAGCAAAGTCTGTTATTCATACTGTGGACGTGGGGCGGCTTGCTTCCAGTGCGGGGGCTAGTGCTTAGTTCCGTATGTTTAACTGCCCCCGCTGTGCAGTGTACATGCAGCATCGTATAGAACTGGCTGGCTGTGACTGTGGCCACTATTGTGTGGCTGAATGCTCTGGTGTGAGGTGGGGACCTGGTTATTGTGGTATGCCCACCAGTCATTGCCCAGTCCAGCACTACATTTGCCAGTGAGGAGGGGGCATCATTGTCCTCTCGCCACGCGTGCAGTTGTGGCGCTGCCGCCGACAGTAGCCATATCGCTGTGTCGTTTCCTGTGATGAATGTACTGAGTATCGCGTGTCCGCTTACACGGAAGTTTACCCGGCGGCTCCACCTGTGGGCGGATGCGGTAACGACTGCTTATGATCGCTGTCGACAGGTGGCGGCGAGGCTGGCCTGAGCCAGGACGAGTACGACGCCTCCGTGGCCACACTGCAGAGCCTTGCCACCACCCTGGACGCCGACTGCGTGTTGTTACGAGAGAAAAAGGTGATGTATGGGCTTCCGCATGACTACAGCCGGCTGCTGTACTCCGCCATCGCGTCGTTCACAAATACCAATCACAAACACCGTGCATCGCTCTACACGAACTGGGAACAAGCCAGCTAGCCTTCCAGGCCGTAGCCGGTGCATGATGCTGACATGCTCCCAGCTGTGTGGCGTGTCCGGCCCCTCCCCTTGTCACGCCGTTTAGTCCGCCTCTCCACGCCGGTCGCTGCTGTCGGCACCGCGTGACACCACGCTCCCATAGCGTCTGGAAGCCCACAGAAAGACAGGTAACAGCAGGAGCTGTTGCCAGTAACCGCAGATGACGGCAGTAACAGCAAATAACGGCGAGCTATTGGCTGACGCGCCTGCCTGGCGGTCGTGGCGGCCCGCGGCGGTGGGATCGAGGCAGGGCTGACGGGACGTACTCAGGACAGGCGTGGCCCGGACTGACCTGGTCACCTCCCCCTTTCCCTCGCCCAGCGGGTGCTGCCCGTGCTGACCCAGGCCCGCGCCGGCAGGTGGAGGGCGGCATCACCGGCCAGTACCTGGTGCGGAAGCGGGCCGACGAGCAGGACTTCATGGAAGTCAGGTGAGGCGTCTGCCACGCGCCGCCTCCCGTCGGCGCACTTGGAGACGGGACGGCCAGCCGGGACACGGGACGGGACCACCAGCCATTGAAGCACGCCGAGACCGGCATGCTTCAATGGCGCAATGGATGACGCTGTATTATTCTGGTTTCCTGCCGCCGCTTGTCTCGGGTTTATTTACCATTACAAACTGCTGGGCTTACGTAGGGATGATCCACCGGTAATTATCCGATGGCGCCCTTGTACAATGCAGGTAAAAACACCGGACGAGCCGACGGGCTAATGTGGAACTGAAATACGGAATTCCTTGGTGCGAGATTGTGAAAACCCGGAATGCATCAGTTGTGGCAGCTTTTATTTTTGGTAAAGCTTTAACGAATACCGACCACGTGTAACCGCACGTTTTCTGTCATTGAGCTATGATAATTGATGTGCAGTCGGTAATTTCTGGTATTGGATGTCTGTCGGTCAGTGGTTCCGGCACATGTGCATTCAAAGTAACCCCGATAAAGTATGATTAAAGCTTCTCGTTTCGGCATTTGTGGTCGGTGGCGACTTTCCCGTCGCAGATTTCTATGCTTCGGACCGGACTTCTTTTCAGCAGGTAATAATGAGAAACAAATATTTTGAATATGATGCTTCATTATGATGGTGCTCAATCTTCACAATGTATGTGAGCGTTTTGGTTTCTTCCGCTGCGCGCACTTTTTCTATTACAAACAGCGTAGCAGTCGCTCATGCTGAAGCTGTATCCCTCAATTTATTATACCTGAGCACGTGCGCTGGCGCGTCTCGAACCCGCAGGCGGTACACCATCCGGACCTTTGGTCAGCACGTGGAAACCACCTGAGTGGTGGAACAATAACATAAACACTTGGTGACAAATCGTACATTGTACGCCGGCGTGGTATCACTGAACAAAGCGACTCCGGAGGGGCCGCGTCGTTACGTTGGATGTCCGCCGCCAACAGCAGCCCTGCCTGCCCGGAGCCGGCTCCCCCGTGTCACACCAGCCGGTGGCGGTGACGAGGGCCTGACCGGTGTAGCAGGCGGCCGGGTACCCCACTCCTCTGACCCCCTGCCCACTTGTCGCGCGGCCGGACCCGCCGGCGGCGCTCCGACGTGGGCGCGGCGCCCGGCCCAGCGCTCGTGCTGTGGACTGAGGGATTACCGGGGAGCCCCGGCCACTTTGTTGTCCGGGAGGCCGTGTCTGAGGAGGCGTCACGGAGATCAGTGGTGAAGCCTCTTGAGCACAGTTTGTAAGCGGGTGAAAGGCTCTCTGAACGCGTCCTGGCGGCTCTAAGCAGTGTTGGGTGTGTACGCTTCGCTTCATCGTCCCAGGCTTCGCAGAACATAGCCACGTTCTGGTTCGTGTTAAGTCGTCGCCGCGCGCTATTTCTGGCTGGTTGTAGCATGCCAGAGTCTGCAGCTTGCTGGATCAGGTTGTAAAGTGCTGTGTTCCCAGGTTTAACAGTCCCCAGACTGTAGCGCTCGGGACTGTAGTGTTACGCACACAGTGTTTGGCATTGATGGATGGTGGGACGCTGCCCTTCTGACGTGTTGCGATCCGAGCTCTCACCTTCAGAAGGATATCTTTCTATGCATCGATATCCCGATGTCTCCCAATCCGCCATAATCCCCTGTGGATCACGTATCGTTTGCGCGTCACCCAGCCTAATGCGTGCTCCTCCGCCGGCAATGAACGTGGTCGGTATCCCGTGCCGCATAGTGCGTTCCCCACCGGAGGGCCGTCCGTCGGTGTCAGCTCACGTCCGCCGACTGGTGACGGGCGCCCTCCCGCTCGCCTGCCGTCCTCCCCGCTCACCCGCCGCTCTCCCCGCTCACCGGTCGCCCTCCCGCTCACCGGCCGCCCTCCCGCTCACCGTGTCGCCCTCCCGCTCACCGGCCGCCCTCTCGCTCACCGGCTGCCCTCTCGCTCACCGGTCGCCCTCCCGCTCACCGGCCGCCCTCTCGCTTACCGGTCGCCCTCTCGCTCACCGGTCGCCCTCCCGCTCACCGGCCGCCCTCTCGTTCACCGGCCGCCCTCTCGCTCACCGGCCCGCGCTCTCGCTCACCGGTCGCCCTCCCGCTGAACCGGCCGCCCTCCCGCTCACCGGCCGCCCCTCCCGCTCACCGGTCGCCCTCCCGCTCACCGGTCGCCCTCCTCCGCTCACCGGTCGCCCTCCCGCTCACCGGCCGCCCTCTCGCTCACCGGCCGCCCTCCCGCTCACCGGCCGCCCTCCCGCTCACCGGTCGCCCTCTCGCTCACCGGTCGCCCTCTCGCTCACCGGCCGCCCTCTCGCTCACCGGCCGTCCTCTCGCTCACCGGCCGTCCTCTCGCCTCACCGGCCGCCCTCTCGCTCACCGGTCGCCCTCCCGCCCACCGGTCGCCCTCTCGCTCACCGGTCGCCCTCTCGCTCACCGGTCGCCCTCTCGCTCACCGGTCGCCCTCTCGCTCACCGGTCGCCCTCCCCGCTCACCGGTCGCCCTTCCCGCTCACCTGCAGCTCTCCCAGCTCACCTGCCGTCTTCCCGTTTCAGCGCCCCCCTCCCCCCGTTTATCTGTTGCCCTCCCCGCTTACCTGCCGACTTGCCCGCTCACCTGCCACCTCCCCCCCCCCCCCGCTTGCCTGCTGACCTCCCCGCTCATTGGCCGCCCACCCCGCTCACCGGCCGCCCTCCCCGTGCCGCCAGGGTGGCCGTGGTGGGTAACGTGGACGCGGGCAAGTCGACACTGCTGGGCGTGCTGACGCACGGGGAGCTGGACAACGGCCGGGGGTTCGCGCGGCAGAAGCTGTTCCGCCACAAACACGAGATGGAGTCGGGCCGCACGTCCAGCGTGGGCAACGACATCCTGGGTGAGCGGCGGGCGCCGGTCGGCCGTCGGCAGCCGGGCCCGGTGTCGCCGGCGCTGGGCGGCGGCGAGGCCGCGTGTGACGGGGCTGTGGGGGACGGTCGGCGAGGCCGTGACTCAGCTGACAGTCAATCCCGGTGACAAACGACAACCGGTGCAGGGTCCGCCCTGCAGGGTCCGTTGTCTGGGGTCAGTACTGTGACATGAGAGGTGTGGCCAGTATTGGTTTTCCCCCAGCTTATTGGCGCTCGCAATCAAGCTTATTGACACTCGCAATCGTAGGAAAGCACCGAGACAGACGTGCCAAAGGAAATGATGCGTGACAAGTATTTCCACTGGTATATTTGTTGTCGTCCTGGGCTATGATGGCTAGCGCCTACATGTCGAAGGAAAAATAACGATCGTAGTCGTATCTTTGTGCCACGACTTGGATTATGCCGATTGCCTTTATCTGACCCCTGTGCGGAATGACGTGTTTTTAACCGTCGCTGTAACGGTCGTTTCGTCTAAAGCCTGCAGCGCCTTGACCTATGCTGGGCGTGTTGTACCGCGATTTGTCCCACCGCCGCTGGCCGTACCATCTCCCGACCCGGGACCCGCCGTGCCGGCCGGGGGCCGCGCTCCTCCGGGCCGTGTCGCCGCGGGCGCCGGCTCCCTCCCGCCGTCCGTGGCTGCTCTCCGTCCCGGCGCGTCGGCGGCGCTCGCGCTGACGGCGCGGCCTGGGCCGGCAGGGTTCGACAGCCAGGGCCAGGTGGTGAACCGGCCCGAGCACGGCTCGCTCGACTGGGTGCGCATCTGCCAGAAGGCCTCCAAGGTCATCACGTTCATCGACCTGGCCGGACACGAGAAGTACCTGAAGACGACGGTGTTCGGTGAGTGCGAGCACTGGTGGACCGAGTGGCGGGAGGACTCTGGGACCTAGGTGGGTCCATCTCCCTCCCACTCTTCCTACCCTCGCCTGGTTGTTTGACTATTTGGATCAGAGCTCTTTCGACCAGAAATGATTATTTCAGGGCTATGCCCTAGCCTCTTGTTTTTCCCCTCCTCTACCCCTCTGTTTGTTTCTGCTTTTCTCTCCTTCACTCTCTCCCTCTGCTGCACGGCCTCGCGCGGTTGATGCGCCCAGAAATGCCTTCACCCCCTCCTTTTCTTCCTCCTCCTCTTTTCTCCTCTCTCTTTCGCTACTCCCCCTCTCCGTCTCTCCTTTAGTACCTCCCTTACGTTCCCCTCCCTCTCTCCCTCCCCCCTTCTCTCGAGCGCTTTCATTGATGCCGAGGTTAATTCTGCCAAACAGTGCACAAACACCCACTTTGACATGCAATCCCATCGCAGGCTACGGCGTGTGGGAGGCGCAAAGGACTGGACGATGACTGAGATCGGACCGTGCGCCGCAAAACGATACCGAAATCGGAATTCATCCTAAATTCTACTTTTTATAGGCACACATGGTAGACGTATTTTGACCGCAGCTGCTCTGTCATGAACGACGGGAGAACGCTACATGTCCGACAGCTTTCAGTCCCATGAGTATCATGAAGCTCTGCGAACTTCGTTTATCTCAGAGCCGTCTGCGCTATCTTGACCGAAGTGGATTCCCTTTACACAAGGGAGCAGAATGAGGGCCATCTGCTCGCCGACCGATGACGACTGGATGCCAGTTGAGATTTGATATCGAGTGGAAAGCGATAGCGCTCTAGCGAAGTTGCATCAAGCCACTTCGAGGAGGCCCTGGAGGAGACTCAGCGACGTGAAGTTTGAGAGAAGTTCTGGGGCGCATCCGCCGCTGCGTTTGCGATCAAAGCCTCGACCGGAAATTTCGGAGCCAACCATGTCTGAATTCGCGCTGAAGCTGCCTTTGTTAATGGCGTTGTATGATTTTTTCTGGCTGTTTTTCGAGAGCAAAATGCCAAGCGACGTGTTTCCTCACTCCCGCTTCCACCTATATCCGGCGTCGTATGATTTTTCTCGCTGTTTTTCGACGACAAAGTGCCAAGCGACGTGTTTCCTCACTGTCGCTTCCACCCGTATCCCTCTCTGTCTCTCATTCTCCCCTGCACTCTTGCTCCCCATCGCTCCTGCTCCCCGACACTGTCACTCCCCACCGCCCACACTCTCCCACTATCCACTCCCTCCACTCGTTCTCCCTCCATCCCTTCCTCCCGCGTTGTCGATCGTAACCCTCACCCTCCCTCGCCCGAAGCGCAGCTGGGCGCCCGAGGAGGAAGCTCGAGCGATGGATTCCGCGGGTCCCTGATGTGGGGTTCCGCGTTCTCTTTGCGGTCGCTGTGGAATAATTTTCAAACGTGACGTCTCTGCTCACGAGCGCGGCAGCACTGGGGCGACTCGTTGGCGCTGAACGGCAGCGGTGCTGCGCCGAACCGCGCTCGGCGAACGCTCCGGCCTCGGACGCCCCCCACGGCCGCAGCGTCCGAGCACAGCGGACCTGACCCGACCCCGCTTGTGTCCGCTCGCAGAGCGTACCTGACCCCATCCCACCTGTCTCTGCTCGCAGGGGATACCTGACCCGACCCCACCTGTCTCTGCTCGCAGGGAATACCTGACCCCTCGTAGAGCGTACCTGACCCAACCCCGTCTGTCTCTGCTCGCAGAGCGTACCTAACCCGACCCCACCTGTCTCTGCTCGCAGAACGTACCTGATCCCTCGCAGAGCGTACCTGACCCGGCCCCACCCGTCTCTGCTCGCAGGCATGACCGGCCACGCGCCCGACTTCGGCATGCTGATGGTGGGCGGCAACATGGGCATCGTCGGCATGACCAAGGAGCACCTGGGCCTGGCGCTGGCCCTCAGTGTGCCCGTGTTCGTCGTCATCACCAAGACAGACATGGCGCCCGAGCAGGTGTTACAGGTGAGAGACGGCACTGTTGCCAGGGCGCGGGGTCAGGCAACCGTCGATGTTTTGGGGCTGTGTTTAATTATAATCGTATTAGTTTTTTTATTATTTTAATTTTTTATATTATATGTTAATTTGTATTTTATTTATTATGCTATTAATTATAATTATTTAATTAAGTCATAATAGTTTATGGCTAATGCCTTGGTTGTCAGGGCTACCGTCGATGTTTGTGTTTTCTGGTGAGGGCCACGACCAAGCAATAGGCGTGCTGTACTGCGCATGCAGTCCGGCGCCAGTTGTCTCACTGCTGATCTTCGGCCCTCGGATGAAAACGTGATGCTGCCGCCCCCTGCAGGTGTCGAGCCCACACGCGTTCTTCATTTCCCCGGCGAAAAAATGCACAGGCTATACTTGGGCGCGAAACGAACGTTCTACAGTTGAGGATATTAAAGTGACGATCAGATTTAGTGAAATAAGCACACTATAACTACTGGTATATTTTTAAGTAGAAGAGGCTGCTCTGAACCTCATAATTTTCTGTGTAGTAAATGTGCTTCGCAACTATTTGTTTAGTAAATATGCTTTTCAATACCTCATTGTTTGGATTATGTCATACCTTGCACAACACTTATTGAGAGCCAATTGACGGCCATTGTATGTGAAAATCGTGCCCACAAACGCAAGATGTGACCGGCTCCACAATTCTATTTTGGTTGGGCTAGATCGTCGCATGGTTAGTGGAACGCCAGCATTTAAATGGCGTTATTATTGCGCCATGGATGTTTGGGTGATCTTGAAATAGCCTCCCCGGAAAAGTCAGCACATCTTCACGGGCGTGTAGCTCAGAAACTAGAAGGGTTTAGCCCGTAAGAAGGGCAGGGTTGTGAACCGCACCAAATGACCTTCTGCCACCAAAGAGCTGATCTTCAGGGTGGCTATTCCAGTTGAAAACCCCGTACAAATGTAAAACACTCCCCCTTAAAGCATGTTATTCAGGCTTTTCTCCCGCCCTCGGTCAGTGCTTTTTTTAAGCGTGGATGGTTAAGGGTAGCAATGGAAACTCAAATAACTTGTTATACCAAACAGGTAATTGACAAAACTACAACGCTCCTGTTTGGGCTAACGTAGTACTCCGCAAGACGACGCATGGCATGTTTATCTCCTATAGCCAAAATGTCTTCGGCGTTTGGACGACAGCATTCGCCCAAAGCCGCAGATTTATTGTGCGGGTAAGCTGCATACAAAATGGAGCTTCCAAACTTATCTTCGCGTACAGCGTCGGGAGGACCCCCACATCATCTAGGATTTGCATTACGAGTGGGCTGATTGTGCTTTATCCCGTAGGAACCCGCGGCATAACGTTGACACTGCACGCCCGCCGTATCTTGCACTGCCTTCCCATCCCGACTCCACGCGGCCCCGGACCGGGGGACGGTTGTAATGGCAGTGTCAGCCGTCCCCGGCGGGGCGCTGCTCGGCAGGCCGGCCGCCGTGTCGCGGCCGGTCTCGTCTCGCGCCTCTCCGTCCGGTCCGCGCCTCGCTCCGGCTCTAGGTCGCGCGCGGCCGCCTGCGCGCGCGGCAGCTGTCGGTTGGCGGCGATCCCGTGCGGTGGCTCTCCCGTCAGGATCTTGCAACGCGCGAGCTGCTGTGGGCGGCGATGGAGGCTGCCCAGGCGGAGCGCAGCGCGTGAAACGGGGCGGACGCCGGCGTAGAGGCGAACCCCCGTCGCTCGTGTCCCGGGGCAAGCGTGTGACCTAAGTTCTGCCGGGGCGCCCTCTGCAGTCTGTGATGGCCTGCGCGGCTGCAGTTCTCTTGGCTGCTCTAGGTGCGGTCTGTGAGCTGCCTGTCGTATCAGACGGTGCGGTGAAGGCGTTGGAGGTTCGCTTCCCGCCACGAACGCACGGTCAGGCCGCGCTGGAGCGCCGGGGAGCCGGACGCTCGGCCGTCTCACTCCGAGCGGAGGAGCCTGGCGCCGGTCACAGTCTGGCCCGGGGCTGATGTGCTAAGCTGGCGGCCGTGTCGGCAGCTGACGGTGGCCAGCAGCTGCCGACGGCCGGTGGCAGGTCGGGCCCCGCTGGTCACTGGTCTGGCCCGGGGCTGGTGTGCCCAGCTGGCGGCCGTGTCGGCAGCTGACGGTGGCCAGCAGCTGCCGACGGCCGGTGGCAGGTCGGCAGACCGCCACCGCCATGTTATAGAGCTGACCCGTGTATTTGCGCAGTGTTGGAAGGGCCACTGCTGGCTTCTAAAACGTGAAAAGATGCATGCGAAGGGAGTTGAAACACCCTTCAAACGCATCTAAATCGTGGACCAAGCATGGCCATACCCTGTACAACTCTGACAATGCAGGGCATCACCACGAGGCGATTAAATCATATCGTCTGCTTGCATTCCTCATAAGGCGGCATCAGTTGACGGCAGCCTTCACAAAACCCCTCATAAATTGGGTTCATCCGAGGTTCAGTGTGATTTTCTGGCGGCGGAAGAGTGGCGGTTGCGCTCTCGGTTCTCGGAAGAATGGCGGTTGAGTGGAAGAGTGGCGGTTGGTTGTCTCCGTGCGCTCTCGGCGGACCGACGAGCCCCCCCCCCCCCCTCCCCTTCCTCCTTTCCCGCCCGCCATCACGGCCCGGCGGCGCTGACCGGTGACGCCGCTGCTGCAGGACACGCTGAAGCTGCTGGTCAAGATCCTGAAGTCGCCCGGCGTGCGCAAGGTGCCCGTTATTGTGCGCACCGCCGACGACGTCGTCATGTCGGCCACTAACTTCGTCTCGGAGCGGTGAGCGGCGGGGTGGGCGCCGCGCGGGGCGCGGGGTCGACGGCGGGTGTCCGCTCGCTGTCGCGGGGCGCGCGCTGGGCCCGACCGTGTCCGCGGGGCGCGCTGGGCCCGGCCGTGTCTGCGGGGCGCGCGCTGGGCCCGGCCGTGTCTGTGGGGCTGCTGGCCACCGGGCGGCCTGCGCTCCGCTGGCGCAAGCGGTCGCTGCCGAGTGAGCGACAAGCACAGCGCCTGTGACACGCCACTTGTATTGGTTGTGTTTACCGGTGGGCGGGACTCGGTCAGCTCCTCCATCGACTCCATGCCGATGATGGCCGCAGCGCTGGTTGCTGCTCGGCGAGTGCGACTCGTCCCGCGTGCGTCGTCTCCCAGTCCTGGGCGGATGGCGTCACCGGACCCCCCTGGCTACTATCTGACGAACACGACTGGTGTGATGTGACTCCCTGGGGTGTGATCTGACCCTGACTGGCGTGATCTGACTCCCCGGGATGTAGTCTGACCCTGACTGGTGTGATCTGACTCCCTGGGGTGTGATCTGACCCTGACTGGCGCGATCTGACTCCCCGGGATGTACTCTGACCCTGACTGGTGTGATCTGACTCCCTGGGGTGTGATCTGACCCTGACTGGCGCGATCTGACCCCCTGGTTGGCGTGACCTCTGGTGGCCGCTCCCAGATGGTGACTGACTGTCTGCCGCGTCATGCCCGTCGGGATGCAACGCCAGTCAGTGAGTTTATTGCAGGCGAGACACTTGCGTGATGACATTCGTAATCTTCACGCATTGTTCCTACTGTCATGCGGTATGTAAAAAAGTTTCGTGCCACACGTCCATAACACGTCCTCGGGGGCGGATTACACCGCACAGGATCATTGACACCCTCCTCGGGGCAGCCCCCCCCCCCCCTTCCCACCACCACCACACCACCATTGCTGACCTGCGCCTCTCCCGGGGGGCAGGTTATGTCCCATTTTCCAGGTGTCAAACGTCACCGGCCTGAACCTGGAGCTGCTGAAGATGTTCATGAACCTGCTGACAACGCGGCCGGCCGGCTGCACGTCCGACCCGGCCGAGTTCCAGATCGACGACACGTACTCGGTGCCGGTACGACACGCGCGTTGCCGCGCTGCGCGCGCCGTTGCTTAACGCCACGCGCGGTCACCCAGCGGCGGGCGACCACCGCGGCCGTGTCCGCGCTGCGACGGTCTGTGTCGTGCTTGCGGGTAGGCCGGGAGCAGGTGCGCCTCCGCGCAGGTGGTATTGAGTACGGCAGCATGCTTTTGCGTTGGTGAGTCTTGCTGTGCGTGCGTGCGTGCGTGCGTGTGCGTGTGCGTGTGCGGTGCGTGCGTGCGTGCGTGCGTGCGTGCGTACGTGCGTGTGTGCGTGCGTGTGTGTGTGTGTGTGTGTGTGTGTGTGTGTGTGTGTGTGTGTGTGTGTGTGTGTGTGTGTGTGTGCTGTGTGCCTGCGTGCGTGCGTGTGCGCGTGCGTGCGTGCGTGTGCGTGTGCGTGTATGTTCGTGCCCGGTGGCGTTTTTGGCCTCGGAGCCGGCTGCGGGACCGGGATGGGGGAGGGGCGGTCGCTGAACGCGTGCTGATATCACGGTATTAGGCGGTCACGCACGGGACATCGCCGGTGAGCTGCTGACGGAAACCGCAGGAAAGATTGAATGGAAAGGTGGCTAGGGAAGAAGAGTCAAGCGGGATAAAAGACGCAGGGATAAAAGGCGAAGCGGACAAAGCCGACAGGGGTGAAAGCCGAATCGGATGAAGTCAAAAGGCATCAAAGTCGGCAGGCATAACGGATTGAAAAACAGATAAGACGGTAGTATTAGCCCTATTCCTCGGAAAACCAGGAGAATGGAGGTGTAGTTAGACTGATATCTCGGCAACATGCCTTTTCGAAACGATGGCGGAAGTGAATTGTTTCACTTATACTATATGTTCCGAAATTCTATATTTTCCGATATTATACCATAACTATATCTCTATTTTCCTGTTTTTTCCGAGGAACAAGGCTAATACTATCTCCATGAGACTAATGTTCTTCCCTAATGCATTGAACAACTTACGGATTGGAAAACACTAAACTAGCTGGAACCGTAACAACATTGGAACCATGAACCAGACCCTGGTGTTCATAAAATAATGGGCGAAGACCAGGCAAGCGTGGTGTGGTGCTTGAGGAAAGATATTGCGAATCACCAGCTGAGTTCTGGTGTTTGTGAAGGAACCAGTGAGGCCCAGGGACCCGTGTTTTTATTTGTAAAAGAACTAGTCAGGACCAGGAACCAGATCGCTGTGTTTGCGAAACAACCAATAGCATCACGTAAACGGAGGAGGGGTGTGTTGCCGGAAGCCGGAACCAAGCACACAAGCCGGAACCAAGGGCTCAAGATTTTGTTTTCAAAAGGGGATGTGGGAGACAGGAACCAACCGTCAGCCAGGCACATGTCTCTAGTACTGGGACCAACGAAAACACCGAATTCACGGTCTGGTAACGAATATGCATGGTTCAGATAGTCCGGTAATTTTATTGGCGACATGAGATGCATGTTTGATGCGTGGTATCAAGTCAATGCGATGAGATAGCCATACTGGGCAAGTGTCACCCTGACTTGTCTGCTTTTACGCCGCTGTAATGTTGTCTTCTACACACCTTCGTGCGATCCTGCCGCACATCGTGCAGTTGATGGTGATCCCGCGGCTCAGTCAGCGGAACCTGAGACACAAGCTATGTACAGCGGCAGTACGCCCCAGCTCCGCACGTCCTGCCCAGGCGCCGTCACCGGCCCGTGCAAGCAACGCGCCGCCCTGAGCGGTGCGTGTCCGGACCGTGACCCTCAGGAGCGGTGCGTGTCCGGACCGTGACCCCACGGACCTGAGCGGTGCGTGTCCGGACCGTGACCCCGCCGACCTGAGCGGTGCGTGTCCGGACCGTGACCCTCAGTAGCGGTGCGTGTCCGGACCGTGACCCCGCCGACCTGAGCGGTGCGTGTCCGGACCGTGACCCTCAGGAGCGGTGCGTGTCCGGACCGTGACCCCGCCGCCCTGAGCGGTGCGTGTCCGGACCGTGACCCTCAGAAGCGGTGCGTGTCCGGACCGTGACCCCAGCCGCCCTGAGCGGTGCGTGTCCGGACCGTGACCCTCAGTAGCGGTGCGTGTCCGGACCGTGACCCCGCCGCCCTGAGCGGTGCGTGTCCGGACCGTGACCCTCAGGAGCGGTGCGTGTCCGGACCGTGACCCCAGCCGCCCTGAGCGGTGCGTGTCCGGACCGTGACCATCAGGAGCGTTGCGTGTCTGGACCGTGACCCTCCCCCAGCCCCTCGTGCCCGGCTGTGACGCGGCCCCCTCCGCCGCCAGGAGCGGTGCGTGTCCGGACCGTGACCCTCCCCCAGCCCCTCGTGCCCGGCTGTGACGCGGCTCCCCCCGTCGGTAGGGCGTCGGCACGGTCGTCTCCGGCACCACGTTACGCGGCACCATCCGGCTGAACGATACGCTACTGCTGGGGCCCGACCCGGTCGGCAACTTCGCGCCCATTGCCGTACGCTCCATACACAGGAAGCGGCTGCCGGTGTCGGAGGTGCGCGGCGGCCAGACGGCCAGCTTCGCCCTCAAGCGGGTATGTCTGAGGCGGCGGCGCCCAAGCACGGAAGTCCTGCCTGGCGAGCTCAGCTGGCGGGTGGCAGAGCGCTGGGATCGTGGTCAGAAGACACCGGTGCCAGTCCCGGGATGTGACGCGCACGTGGCTGAGAGTCGAGCACTGTCCAGCCAGTCTCAGGACCTGGATAACACCTGGTGACGGCCGGATAATTCATTATCGGATACGTTGCATCGGATAGTGAGTTATCGTTGCGCACATACTGCCGCACAGGACGACGACGACATCCCGAACAATGACTCTTTTTGGTTGATTTAGCTTTGGGTGATTTACCTTGCTGACCCGTGACCCTGACCCGGCCTGCCCGTGACCTTGCCCCAGCCTGACCGTGACCCTGACCCGGTCCGACCCGTGACCCTGACCCGGTCTGACCCGTGATCCTGACCCGGTCCGACCCATGACCGCATTCTGGTCCGGCCCTTGACGCTAACCCGGTCTGACCGGTGACCGCGTTCCAGTTCGACCCGTGGCCCTGCCCCGTGACCCTGACCCAGCCTGACCCGTGACCCTGACCCAGCCTGACCCGTGATCCTGACTCAGCCTGACCCGTGACCCTGACCCAGCCTGACCCGTGACCCTGACCCAGCCTGCCCCCTGGCCCTGTCCTGGGGCGTGCCGTGACGCTGCCCCGTGTGTGCCGTCGCCAGGTGAAGACCCGTGCCCCTGACCCAGCCTGACCCGTGACCCTGCCCGGGGACGTGCCATGACACCGCCCCGTGTGTACCGTCGCCAGGTGAAGCGCTCCCAGATCCGCAAGGGCATGGTGATGGTGTCGGCCGACCTGAAGCCGCAGGCCTGCTGGGAGTTCGAGGGCGAGATCCTCGTGCTGCACCACCCCACCACCATCTCGGCCCGCTACCAGGCCATGGGTGAGTGGAGAGGCGGGCTGACCTCACGGCCGCCGGGGCAGCCTGGTGCTGGAGCGGCTGTGAGGACTACAGGCATGGAACACGAGCGCCCGTGTGCACGGAATCATCAGGGCGGGCTGTGGACGGCGCAGTATGACTTTTAAGAAGTGTCTGGTGGATGCAAATGGATGCCGGAGTGAGGTGGGACGCATCACGCGCGCCTGTCGGGCCGGGCCTGACGGTCGGCCCTCCGGCAGTGCACGTGGGCAGCGTGCGGCAGACGGCCTCCATCGTGCGCATGTCGCAGGACAACCTGCGCACCGGCGACAAGGCCAACGTCCACTTCCGCTTCATCAAGCACCCGGAGTACCTGAAGCCGGGCCAGCGCATGGTGAGTGGCGTCCGGCGGGCGCGTTGTGAACGGGCCAGCTGGCCCAGCGGCTGCGCTCCCCAGACCAGCGGCTCCCCCGCCCAGCCTGCGGGGACGCTGGCCTGACGTGCCGTGCGGGAGCGCGGCACCCTCGGTGGTCTGTGTTTGCTGTGCCGCTGGGCCGGTAGTAGTGTCCTGTGGGGTGGGGCAATGGGCGTTATCTGGGCTGGAAAGCGGGACGTTTGCTGGCGTCGCGTGCGCCGCCGCCCTGGTGCGTACGCCTGGCGTCGATGCCGGACACGCTGTTCGGGTCAGTACCGCTGCGGCCACACGGGCGGGGCTGGGCCGCCCTCCCGGCGGCAGCGGCCGTGACCTCCGGCTGCCGACGTGGCCGCCGCGACTGCGCCAGGGCGCCAGGAGCCTCCCGTGACGTCATCACCACCGCGGCCGAGGCACACAGGCTCCGCGCACCGCTCAGTGTGCGGGGCTCATCGGCCGCTGTCAGATTATTACGAGCGGCTGCGACGTTCCGCCTCGATGTTCGCCGCGCCTTGAGGGCGGAAATGAGCACCGCTTCGAAGCCGCGCCGCGCGCCGCTCTGTGATGACCGCGGAACTCGGAGGACGCGCCGGTGTTGGTCCGAGGTGTCCGCCGGCGGCGGCGGCGGGGCGGTGCCGGACATAGCACCGTGTCGGCCGCTTCGGTGCCCCGCCTGAGGACTTCCCCGTGGGCGAGTGATGAGTGCGGATATGGTTCGGTCTGTCCGCTTCGTTTCTGTTCGATGTGCTGTCTGTCTCCTCGCCCACTCGTCGCACTGTCTTGTTCTGTCGCTCCTCTCCCCAAATCTGGCCTCGCTGTCTTGTTTCTTGCTCTCCTGTTCTCTCGTCGCGCGGGCGCTATATGAACGCGCGGTCGAAGCGTCTGAAAGCTCCAAAAGCGCCGAACGAACTCCTGCCCATTTACTCCGCTCCATTTCCCCCCCCCCCCCTCGCTCATTGCCTTCTTGTTGTCTCGCTTGCGCGGTCTCGGTGTGCCTGCGAGCACCGCGTTTGTCTTGATACCGTAATCTCCCATGCCTGTCTCTCCTAGTCTGGCGCCACAACACGACCGAGGCGGGTCTGACCCGGCCCTGCGTGACAGGTGTTCCGTGAGGGTCGGACAAAGGCCGTGGGCAACGTCACCAAGATGATCCCCAAGGCGCCGCCCGGCCAGCAGCAGAAGCAGAAGTCACAGAAGGCACAACAGCATCACCACCATCAGCAGCAGCAGCAACAGCAGCAGCAGAAGGTTAGTCGGTTTTGACGCCGCGCACGAGCGCCGGCGCGCACGCTCGCGTTTTCGACTGTGTTTGGTGGCAGGCCCCGGGCGTCTGCCGGTCCACGGCTGACCGCGTGACTTTGAGCTGTTCTCCAGAAAAAACCGCCACGCTGTGATCTTCCGCGTCTGACCCGTGTCGGGACGCCACTTATCCGTGTCAGACCCGTGTCGGGACGTCACTTATTCGTGTCAGACCCGCGTCGGGACGCCACTTATCCGTGTCAGACCCGCGTCGGGACGTCACTTATCCGTGTCAGACCCGCGTCGGGACGTCACTTATCCGTGTCAGACCCGCGTCGGGACGCCACTTATCCGTGTCAGACCCGCGTCGGGACGTCACTTATCCGTGTCAGACCCGCGTCGGGACGTCACTTATCCGTGTCAGACCCGCGTCGGGACGCCACTTATCCGTGTCAGACCCGCGTCGGGACGCCACTTATCCGTGTCAGACCCGCGTCGGGACGCCACTTATCCGTGTCAGACCCGCGTCGGGACGTCACTTATCCGTGTCAGACCCGCGTCGGGACGCCACTTATCCGCGTCTGACCCCGGCAGACGGAGCTGGCGGCGGCATCTGCGGCTGCGGCGTCAGCGGCGGTGCCAGTGGACGGAGAGCCGCCGGCCGCCGCCAACGGCGTGGCAGTCGGCGGCGGCGGCGGCGGCGGCGGCGGCCGACGGCGAGGCGGGCGGCGGCAGGCCACCAGGTGAGGCGCCGCCAGCGGCCGCTGCTCGCTGCACACCAGCCGCCAGAGATGTGTGTCGAAGGCGGCAGTGTTCAGGAGAACAGAACGGATCAACAGTAGGGATCAACAGTGCACCGACAAACATCAGGGACAACCGCAACACGTTTAGACAGGCACGAGGATGTAAAAAGTAACACCTCAAGAAGAGGTAAAGGCGGATAAAGAAGTCCATGACTGATCGGGGTGGGCGCGCGACGGGAGCGCTGCGTGAGTCGGAAGTGGTAAGGAGGGGGCGGGGGCAGACGGCCTCCGGGCCGGTGCCGGGGTGGGCGCGTGACAGGAGCGCTGCGTGAGTCGGAAGTGGTAGGGAGGGGAGGGGGCAGACGGTCTCCGGCCGGTGCCGCGGTGGGCGCGCGACGGGAGCGCTGCGGGAGTCGCAGGTGGTAGGGAGGGGAGGGGGGCAGACGGTCTCCGGGCCGGTGCCGCGGTGGGCGCGTGACAGGAGCGCTGCGGGAGTCGGAAGTGGTAAAGAGAGGAGGGGGCAGACGGCCTCCGGGCCGGTGCCGGGGTGGGCGCGTGACAGGAGCGCTGCGGGAGTCGCAGGTGGTAGGGAGGGGAGGGGGGCAGACAGCCTCCGGGCCGGTGCCGTGATGGGCGCGTGACAGGAGCGCTGCGTGAGTCGGAAGTGGTAAGGAGAGGAGGGGGCAGACGGTCTCCGGGCCGGTGCCGTGATGGGCGCGTGACAGGAGCGCTGCGTGAGTCGGAAGTGGTAAGGAGAGGAGGGGGCAGACGGCCTCCGGGCCGGTGCCGTGATGGGCGCGTGACAGGAGCGCTGCGAGAGTCGGAGGTGGTAGGGAGGGGAGGGGGCAGACGGTCTCCGGGCCGGTGCCGTGATGGGCGCGTGACAGGAGCGCTGCGTGAGTCGGAAGTGGTAAGGAGAGGAGGGGGCAGACGGCCTCCGGGCCGGTGCCGTGATGGGCGCGTGACAGGAGCGCTGCGAGAGTCGGAGGTGGTAGGGAGGGGAGGGGGCAGACGGCCTCCGGGCCGGTGCCGTGATGGGCGCGTGACAGGAGCGCTGCGAGAGTCGGAGGTGGTAGGGAGGGGAGGGGGGGGGGAGGAGAAGGGGGAACGCTGACGGCCTCCGGGGCGGTGCCGGTGCGGGGTGCTGTGTCAGACTCCGCGGTATGCGGCGGCGGAGCGACAGCCAGCCGCCAGCAGCCGCTGGAGGATGGCGATGGCGGACCTGGATACCTGGTGTCCCCCGGAGGATGGCTCGTGTCCGCGAAAAGTTTTGAACGGATTTTTTTGTTTGGAATGGTCGAGGGTGGAACAGATTGATTCATGGTAGAGGTATTAGTATCGCGTATTGAACAATTTTTCGAAATGTCGTCCCCGTCTAATGTACAAGCGTCGACACGATGTGATGGTGTCAGAAATAAGACGCCAGACGGGGACGACAGTCGGGACAAAACAGTCTGTCTAAAGGACTGGCCGAAACTGACTGATCATCTCCTGTTGAGCGCTGGTAACACGCTTTTGTTCTCAGCTTGTTGGAACAGACGCGTTCCGATGAGTCTTCGGTCCATATCAAGAACACCCGGAGAATCCGTCATGAGAGCATGCGGCGTTCTCAGCTGGGAAGTTGTCCATTCTCCTTGAAGTAGTCTGAACAATCAACATATCGAATTTTGGGTGTCGGGCTCAGTTGGTGGTACAGGCAGAATCCCGCGTAACTCTTCGAAATGAGGTTGCACCGAATATCAGACCCGTGGCACTGGACTGTTTCATTGCCTTCTTCCGCAACTTTGGGGTAAAAATGCATTTTCAGCTTAACTTTTAAAACTGACGTCGAAACGTTGAAATGACGATTGAAACGACTGAAACGCTGGGGGGTGTTGGTTATAACGTTGCAACGAGTGTTTTCCAGCCAGACGTCTCGGTGCCGTGAGGCCGAGCGCTGGCAAAAATAGTGCCGAAGTAATGATGGCGGCTCAGAGCTCTGTGAGGGTCAATTACCAGGCCGCTTTGCGTTTTTTTCAAGCTCGTGAACGGATCATTGGTCTCATAAGACCCCAAGCGCCTGTGGCTGTTCTGGCTGCGAGGCCTGCAGCTGGTGCAGCGGCGATTCTGGCGCGGCTTGCTCGGTGGGACGCCTGCTGTCTGTGACCGGCAGGCGCGAGGAGACCCGTTTGCTTGTGGTCTGGCCTGTTAGTCGTGTGTCGCCCGCTGTGTCAGTCGCGTGTCGCCCGCTGTGTCTGTCGTGTGTCACCCGCTGTGTCAGTTGTGCGTCACCTGCTGTGTCAGTCGTGTGTCACCCGCTGTGTTAGTTGTGTGTCACCTGCTGTGTCAGTCGTGTGTCGCCTGCTGTGCCAGTGGTGTGTTGCCCGCTGTGCCTGTCATGTGTCACCCGCTGTGTCATTCGTGTGTCGTCCGCTGTGTCAGTCGTGTGTCGCCTACTGTGTTGCCCGCTATGTCAGTGCTGTGTCAGCGGTATGACCGGTGCCGTCTGTGCCCGGCAGGTGCAGTGCCGGCCAGACGGCGTTAGAGGCTGCTGACAGCTGAGCCCGCTGCCCATGCCGCAGGCCCGAGGCGAGCCGCCCGCCGCCCCGCGCCCGGGACGCCCCCGGCGACGAACGGCGCGCTCTGCGGCGGCGCCGCGTCACACTCGGTCGCACCCTGGCTGTCCATTCTAGATGTTGGTGGCGCGTGGATCAGGAGTATTTTGTCTGTATTTTTCTGCCCTGTGCGCTAGGTTAAGCGTTAAATCTTTTCCGTAGTGGGATGCCTATGTTTGATGGTTTTATCTGGTGACAAGGTCGGGTTTCGCGGCTTGCTCTAAGCCCGCGGCGGCTTGGAATCATCGTTTACACGTACAAAGACTGGAGCAGACGTAAGCTCCGGTAGCACCTAACTACCGACTCCAGAACGGACACAGCCGTTTTTGAAAGTAAGTTATGGCGCATGTTTTGTAGAATCGATTTTGTTCAAGCCACGAAGAGTCTGTAAACCTGTTTTCGTAAAGCGCAATACAGACGGGAACACGTTTGTCGTGCCGTGTTTCTCTTTCAGCAGCGCGACGTGGTGAACAACGTTGTTTCGGCGAAGCACGATGTGGTTGCTGGGGCTCTGAAGTTAGTGGTGCCGGTGAGCTGCGACGGGAGTCCGAGGAATATCGAGACCTGAATCGATCTAGAAGGTCCGCCCTTCGCCGCGACTCGCGGGACGTTCGTTCGTTCGTTCGTCGTTCAATGTACACGCGAGCGAGGTCCGACCACGGTGCGGCGGAACGAACGGTCCGTGGTCGGTGACAGGGCGGTGCCGGGGATGCTGCACACAAGCTCAACAAATTCTTCGTTGAAGTGCGTGCCCAAGGTGGCCCGTCCACTTGCCGCCCAGGAACTACTACCTCAGTCTCTGCCCTGTTTCTCTCACACGTCTTGGCCACCAACGTCGAGTGCCGCCTCTCTCCCCCGCCCCTTCCCCCTGCCCACCCGGGTGGGGTCTGCTCGTTCGAGCTGTTGCCTGTCGGCCACGGAATGCTGACAAACGCGGTCATAGCACGCGCCTGCGGCACTGAAGGCGTCTGCTTCCGTGTGCTGCGTTTCCTGCGGACCGTGACACCATCCTCCACCTCGTCAATTTCTGCGTAGGGTATTCCAGGGGCGGATCAAAGGGAGGTCACGAACACCCTGCCCCCCCCCCCCCTTGGGCCCCGAAGGGGTCAAGTGGCTCCAAGAGGGCCCATAGCCGGCCGAACAGGTGGAGTTTTTTTAACACAAAACAACAAAACTGGGTATTTCTGGACTTCCAGACAAGAACAATTGCTAAGGAAAGGGAGCGACCTATGAGAAGTCCACAAAATTATTCAATGGCTGGAAAAGTTGTGAACTGGAAATTTTAAACCCCATTACGCTGTCTAGGGGTCCCATACTGTTTTCGGGGGACCTATATTCTCACTTCCAGGAATATTTGGATCCTTAAGGAGCATTCCACGTTGCCCTCCATTTCTTTGTATTTGCTCGAAAAGCCCTGCGCTGTTGTTACGACGCTTTTTGTTAGGGTGCCGGCGCACTATTGTCAAGCAGGGGCCCTTCCACGAATTTCTTCCATTCGCCAGACAGACTCTGTGAGCTATAGCGAGGGTCTCATATCTTAACCTGTCGGGATATTCTCGATTGCTTAGGGCGCTTTACGCGCGTCTCGGTAAACCTACCGACACAGTGAGACATGCTCATAGGCCCCCTACATTGGTCTAGGGCACTTCCAATTCTCCGCCTCTTGCGTTGTGCCCTACACTCTTGTTGGCGGCTCATCTGATGGCCTGCTTGGGAACACTCAGTCGTTCGGGGACCCTCCACACATGGCCTTGAGTGCTTCTTTTCTGAATGGGGAGCCCTACGCTCTTCTGGGGGGGGGGGGGGGGGAGGCCATTCAATAACCTGCTCGGGCACATTCGATTGCCCGGTGGCGCTCTATGTTGGGCGTTGGGCACGTGCTATTTAAATGAAGCCCCACGCACTTGTCGGGGGCCCCTCTGTTCGCCTCCTCGGCCACACCGAATTGCTCTGGGGGCCTTGCACATTGGTTCTTGATGTTTGAATTTAGGGTCTTCTGCTCCTATCGGGGTCACCTGATAACCTGCTGGGGTACGCTCCATCTTTCGGGGGCCCTCCGTACCAGTCTTTGGTACTCCTTATTTGAATGGAGGGCCTTACGCTCCTGTCGGGGCCAAGTGGCATTGAGCCTGCTGTCTCTCCCCACAACGCCCCCATCATTCTCGTCACGTGGTCAAGAGAGCACCATCTTCCGAACATCGTATGTTCGTGGACTATCGCCTCCTGGACACCGGCATCAAACACGATCGGTACTCAAATTCGTTTGCTACAGATGCCACAGACCAACACTCCGGCTGCAGAAATTCTCTTCCCCAGATTTACTCTACTCTTTCCATGAGGTCAAATTAACACGATTATCTCGTCCATACATGGTGTTTACTGCCAACGACGCTCGTTATCAGTACGCACGGATGTCTTTGGCTGTGTTACGTTATCTTCAGGCCTAAATCACGCCCTGCAGACCGCACTGTCGGGAATGCAAGGCATCGACGCAGTCCCATACGTAGACGATGTACTAACAGCCAGCCGCCATTATGAACAGCATTTAGAAAAACTAGACTGCGTACGGACCCGTCTGGAAAAAGTGTGTTTTGCACTGTGTCGAACAAAATGCTGTTTCGTGCAGCGCCAAATTAAATGTTTCGGTCACACGATTGCCTCACGTGGGGTGTGCCCTGATCCTTCAAAACTGAAGCCGTCAATAATTTTCGACATCCAACGTCGGCCACAGAAATTCGGTGTTCCATTGGATTTTCTAGCTTCCATCGACGCCAAAATCCGCGAGTGCCTGAACTTACTGCGCCATTGGTAAACCTCACCCGTAAAAATGTCGATTAGACTGGACCAATGAGTGTGAAAAAACGTTCCCGTCTCTTAAAGACGCCCTGATTCATTACCCCGTTTCTTACTTTTCCGATTTCACCAGAGACTTTGATATCACCACTGGCGCAAGTGCATTTGCAATCAGTGGCATCCTGGAACAGAAAATTGCGGATGAATTCCACGCTATCTCATACTTCAGCCGGCAGCCTAGCAAGCTGAGCGAAATTACTCAGCCACCGAAAAAGAAGCGCTTGCCTTCTCCTGGCATTTCGAACATCTCCGCCGCAATTTACTTGAACACATTACTCATGTTCTTACGGATCGCTGACCACTGCGTGGATTGTTAAGGCCACTAACACTGGTGGCGGACTCACCAGCTGGTTTTTGAACTCATCAAAATACCATTTTGACATCCTATATCTCCCAGGCTGCCACAACGTCAAAGCCGATGTCTTGTCTCGCGTAAAAACTGAGGCTCAGTCCCAAGAAGGTCAGATTCGAGTCCGGATCAGAGAGGAACAAAACAAAAATGCATCTTTCATTTCACTAACTTTACGACTCTCGGACAAATCAAAAGAGCGGTCGCAACTTGAGCTTCAAGAGGGGTTATCGAACTACTTCTTCAGTTCCGATGGACTGCTCTATCATGTCATCTCACAAAAAAGCAAAACGCGGCCATGCATTGATTAATTACTAGTACCGGCTTCAATAAAAGTTAGCATCGTCTAAAAATTCTATGAAGTTGGGTGGTCAGGTCGTCTAAGGTTCAACAAACTTTTTCCAAAATTCGTTTTTCTTTTCTTGGAAACACATGTACAGGGATGTGCAAAAGCGCATAAGCTCTTGCTGCTCGCGTATGCAGTGCCACACCCATCATAGTATCAAGGGTACATCTTTGCAAAGGACACCATTGCCAGCTTATCCGATGTACATTTCAACGTCGACATTGTTGCACCTCTGAAAATTGGTTGCCATGGCAACTCCGACCATCTGCCAAGGACCGGACGTCTCCCTCGCTGGCCTGAAACTACCCCGATCTAAAAAAATCACCACCGGTGCGGTGGCACGAGCCGTTGCCGAAAACATTATCACGCGACATTGGTATCAGCCATTATTTACTTAGTGGTAGAGGCTCAAATTTCACTCCAAACCTCATGCAGTCTATCTGCAAACTTCTCGACAGCAAAATGCCCCTCACAGCCCCGTTCCACCCCGCCGCAAACCGGAGGGTCGAATGATTGCATTCTTTGCTCGGCAGCATTCTGTCCCCACTCGTCGATTCGTCCCAGAACAATTGGGGCGAGTTTCTTTGGCTACATAACGTCCATCAACCGTTCTGCTGGCCGCCCATTTTTCACCGGCCGTGATTTGTTCCTGCTGCTTGATGTAGATACACAGGTCCTGTTGACCCGTACACATCGATCGATTAACACCGCGATCTCCTGCGGAAGCATCTCAGCGCGTTGCATGCGGTCGTGCAAGCCTAAAATGGGCTGCCACTTTGACCCAAGAAAAATATCGGCCCAAACAGTGGGTTTCCACATCTTTCTACCCACGTATGCTGGGATACCTACACAGCCCCATTTCAAACTCGGCCTGACCCGCAAATTGCAAAAAGTCAACCGCTGTCCCTACCGGCTGACCCAACTGGTTCGACCGGTGAACGCAAAAATCGGGCACATCAAACATCCCGACGATGGGCAACATGTTCACGTCAACCGTGTGAGGCCGTTTGCCGAACGCAACCCGTTCGACACGCTCAACGATGCGGCGCCCAACGATGACGACGCCAACCGCACTTCCGTGACCTCTGCCGGTCCACGGTGGCGGCGTATTCTTGCCGAGCCGCAGCCTCTGGGTTGCCGGAATGATCGATCTGGTTCTAATTAGAGATGCCGCGCGGTCCTCCGACCTCCACAGAGGCTGGACACATGACGATTTGTTTGATGTCTACTTATACATTTTTGCAGATGGCATGGAGCAAATGAGTTGTATTGCCTGCGAAGTTGTTATTAGACGCAATTTAAGTGCGCAAATGTTCATCAGCACTGTTGTAAATGGTAGTAACGGCTCAGATAATTCTCAGTGAACAAGTGCGTCGTTTCAA